AGTATTATTTTGTCGATATATATTTTCGATAAACAATAAAATGTTAGGCGTCGGAATGTCTGCGGTTTCAATTTCACCATACCATTTTTGTATAGATATTAACATCTAACAAAATGTACGATATTGAACTCTATGTATTAAAAGAAGTAATTAAATTTAAAAATATAAAAGGGGGATATAATAAATTGAAATCCATTTCATCTTTGAATCTGATGGTGAAGACTGAATCAGACTGATATAATTGTGGAATGTCGGTAAGTGTTACTTTAATACATTCACTAACAATTTAAAAATGTATTAATATTAACAATAGTAGTAAGTAGCATCATAGCATTAATTATTTCCACATAAGCCTTTATTTCAATCGTAACGTTTGTAGTGTAACTTAAATTAATATTGTATTGTTATTTCAGGACTCGGAGGATCTCTTCAATTTTGTTCCCATGAATCAACCAGTCCAACAAACCACTGGACAGAAGACGCTGGGTCTCGCTCGCAAGAGATCAAAAACAGATCAGACATTCTATCAATTTATAAAGAAGCCTGTTTCTCGTGGAACGAAAATAATAAAAATAGAAATCTATGATACAGACAGTTTTCAAAAATCCGAACAGTCGATGTGTAATTGTGAGGCTGATGTGTGTGTTCAACATGTTGTGAAAACTATATTATACGATGATATATATACCAGTACGAGAGAATTAATTGCCAAAATTCAGGATGACATCGAACCAAGAGTATAGATTTAATAATTTAAAATGTATAGACGTCACCGTTTACCACTTATGTATGTTTAATTTTCTAAAAAAGTTTATGTAAATAATTATAAGTGTACCTATGTAGTAATGAATAGATATCAACTATAAAAATATCAAAGATTGTATATTTAAAATAAAATAATTCAAAATAACATTTTTTTATTAACTCATTCTTATACATGTAATAAATAGCCACTGCACTACGTACCTAGGTATATAAGGCAGCGCAATGGACAATAGCGAGAGCATTCCATATTATCATATTCAATAAGTATGATCTTTTTATGAATATTACTGCCATGCCTGCTATCTTAAAATAATATGTGAATAGAAGATTAAAATGTGGAAAATAGGGTATCCAGATCTCTGATCTGGATGCCCTATTTTCCAACTACTGAGGTCCTAAACTAACGAAATACGTGAGTAACTCGTTAAACCAATTTAGCGATTCTGAGTAATATTAGAATTAAATTAGAATCGTAACGAAACGCATAACAACGCCAGCATAATGACTCGTACATAAAATCTAAACTGGATTACTATATCATTTATACTTATATTATAAAGCTGAAGAGTTTGTTTTTTTGTTTGTTCGTTTGAACGCGCTAATCTCCGAAACTACTGGTCCGATTTGAAAAAATATTTCTGTGTTAGATACCCCATTTATTGAGGAAGGCTAAAGGCTATAAAATATCACCCTACAATTAATAGGCGCCGAGCAGAGCGAGTAAAACCGCGCGGAAGTAGCTAGTCAACAGTATTAGTCATAAGACAAAACGTCTTTTTCTTTTTTAAACAATCTTAGGTCATTGTATATACCTACACAGTAATAACTAGACATTTAAACAGGTGATACACATGATGTTGACTCGATTTTGAGTCATATCACAATAAAATATGGTAGGAAATAATTTGTTTTGTACTATTTATATACCTAGTTTCTTTTGTTATGTCGACGAGGTCAATGTCATATGAATTGAAGTTAGAATTTTATGGAGCTATTCATAATAAAACTTGGGTTTAAAGCAAATACTAATTAACACCTATTTAAATAAAGTTAATTCTTGAGCAAACTTTACTTAAGCCTTTGGGTTGTTCTAACTAATAAGGGCCGACTTTTCCAACGCTAGATAAATTCTTACTAATATTATAAATCGGAAAGTGAGTTTGTTTGTTCCGCTTTGACGCCGTAACTACTAAACCGATTGCTTTGAATTTTTGCAGACATAAAGTTAGAAGTCTGGATTAAATAATAGGGTACTTTTTATCCCGGACAAAATTTGATATTCACGAGGGAAAACAAAAGTATTGGTATAGATGGCGCTGTGTGTATTGATATATGTCACAAAGGCTACTTTTTATCCTTTTGTGTGAAAGCTAGTACTTAAATAAAAGATAAAAACAAAAACTTTGTTTTTTGGACAAGCCCGCCACAAGCTCTCGAAATCGCTGTAACTCCTGTAAGTCAGCATCTACAGTAGATACGTACAACCATGAAAACACCGGAACGCTGAAGTCCGGCCCGTCCCAGAGACATGAATAACTGTCTCGGTTCCCGCAACGAAAGGAATCAAAAGTTATTATAAAGGACAAGATCAAAAAACTATTGTTTCCACTTCCCTCAGTGAATTACTGCAGGAGACAGAATGGATTAAGCCTAAACGTACAAAAAGAGCCAAATAAGTCATAATCATCATCATCACATACCAAGGAATAATGTACCTTATTAACTTATAAATAGTGATTAATATAAAAGAATACTACGTTTCCTTTGCTACATAGCTCTTTGATCGGATACGATGAGGCTAGAATGATCACGTGATTAATTTTGATTAAATACCCCAAACATAATTCAATAAAGATTAAAAAAGTACATACTTTAAAATATGGTTGCTTATATAACGTCAAGTTATAATTGTATAAGCTAATTTGAAGGTTAATATCAACACAATACGGCGTATATTTCATCTTGAAGTAAATCTAAGTAGGTACTTATATACAGGTTGATTCATAACAAACATGCCTTCAAAACAAGTCGAACGCACTTGAACTTTGATTAACATACGAGGGCCTCTTAGCATTCGTTACTTCAATGAAATATAAGTCAAAGAACAGTACCTAAATGATTTGGAATCATTGTGTGGAAAATATGTATTAAACAAACATAGCATCACGCCTTTTATCCCCGAAGGGGTAGGCAGAGGTGCACATTACGGCACTTAATGCCACTGTACAATGTAACACCCACATTTCACTATTTTATGTTATGAGTCCCATGTAACCTATTAGCAAGGGGTGAGTGAGCCTATTGCCATATACTAGGCACAATTCCAGACTCCGTGCTACTACTGAGATCTTTTAAAAAAGCCCAGTAGTACTTTGCCCGACCCGGGAATCGAACCCGAGACCCCTTACCCGACAGTCGCAATTGCGACCAATCGGCCAACGAGGTAGTCATTTTCAGTTATGTATTAAACATAACTGAAAATGAGTTAAGTAGGACTGGAATAGTATTTGTCTTGACTCCTACTGATTATAGCGTGATGTTTAGGCCTATATATATCCTTGTTTGATAAATACACAAAAATAATGATTCAATTCGAACCAACAGTTCCATAGATAAGTGCGTTCAAAAAACAAACAAATTCTTCAGTTTTATAGATGTAAAAAGTGTAGATTTATTTATAACTAGCTACTTCTGCGCAGTTTCACACGCTCTGCTCAGCTCCTATTGGTCGTAGAGTGATGTTTTATAGCCTATAGCCATCCTTGATAAATGCGCTATCCAACACAAAAATAACTATTCAAATCAGACTTGTAGTTACGGAGATTAGCGCGTTCAAACAAACAAACAAAAAAACAATCTCTTCCGCTTTATATTATGTATAATAGTATAAGATATATGTTAAGATTATGGTTGTAAACAAACTGTGTACAATACAAATACATATTTGTACATATAACAAGCGATGGGAAGGAGATAATTATACTGACATTCACATGTTGTTTTAAAACAAGCACCAAAGCGGTTTGTAAATAAAATTCAACTGCTGTCCGATTCGACCGCATTGTTGATTATTATTTTATACAGCCACAAATGCATTATCACATCCTGTACACCACAAAAATATCGTCAGTATTGTCACTATTAATTCCTTATCTTTTTTCATTCGTATAATACTTATTTTCGTAGGTACGTTTGTAATTACATTTTAACCGTTTATGTCTAGAAAGCTGCTGTCTTTTGCATAGAATAGAAGTGACACTAATAACAAGATCCTATTTTTATTAATGATCTCTTTATCAAACATTATTTTTATTAATGAACTTTTCTTTAACAAGTGCGACTGCCGGGCAAGGGGTCTCGGGTTCGATTCCCGGGTCGGGCAAAGTATTACTGGATTTTTTAAAATCTCAGTAGTAGCACGGAGTCTGGATAAATGTGCCCGGTATATGGCAATAGGCTCACCCCCTATTACATGGGACTCATAACATAAATAGTGAAAAGTGGGTGTTACATTGTACAGTGGCATTAAGTGCCGAAATGTGCACCTCTGCCTACCCCTTCGGGGCTAAAAAGGCGTGATGTTATGTATGTTATATATACTTTTCTTTATAGAATTAATCATGGTAAACTTACAACTGCGCCTGCGTCACTTTCTTTGAACAACGTCCACAATCATTGCAAACAAAATGCAGATCCACGTGCCCACTTTATTATGAGATTACAAGCAAAAATGAAGGCAAATAAATGTAGATATTTACTGCATATTGAGCTCTACTATTTTGTATTACTCTTCCATTGTATTATCAACATTATTACCTTTGCATCAGAATTGAAAATACTTTAAATACGTATATGTACTATCATAAAATTAGCACCCATCTGCGATTTTGTATGTCACATGTATAATATTAGACTGATGATATTAAGGCAAATAGCCTAGTTTCTATAAGGAAGGTAAACCTTAAAAAGGATTTCATTCAAGTTATTGTATTGTCTTAATATATAGAATCGTAGAACGACCTTAGTATTAACCTAGGTCGTGTGTCGTAGACCTTTCTTGTTATTGTACAATTTTCTACATTATCTCTAAGCGTCAGTGTTCATTTTTGCTTGGACGGAACATTGGTTTTATATTTATTTACACTTTATTGTACACCAAAATAATAAGAAGAACATATATCATAATAAAAAGTGTACAATGAGTAGTATAATAGCAGGATGCGATCATTTTGGATTTAAATTCTATTAGTTATAGAAATAAGGTTCAATATCTTACCAGCTTGGAGCAAGCTCCTGGCGTCCTCCCTAGCCTTCTCCGCGTCGACGTGGAAGTCCTCAGATCGGTTGCCCTAGAAACGGTAGTAAATACAATCGTTAGATAAAATTAAAAACACTTATCTACGTCCGAATATTGAAATGCTACTCAATTTTAAGTATTATTTAAATATCGTGCCATCTCTGTCATTTTAAAAACAATTTATAGAGATAGAACTACACCTAAGCACGACTTAAAATTGAGTACATAATTTCACGCATTTATCTCCGAAGGGATAGGCAAAGATGCTCATTACGACACTTAGTGCCACTGTACAATGTAACACCAACTTTTATCTATTTTATGTTATGAATCCCATGTAATAGGCGGTGAGCTTATTGCCATATATCGGGCACATTTCCAAACTCCGTGCTACTACTGAGATTTTTTGAAAATAACCCAGTCAAGCTTTGCCCGACCCGGGAATCGAACCCGAGACCCTTTGCCAGGCAGTCGCACCTGCGACCACTCGGCCAACGAGACAGTCACTTAAAATTGAGTATTTGGACATTTTGCAATAATAATGAAAGTACTTACGCATTTAAGAACATTACGTCAATACAAAAATATAAAGTTAATATTAACATCTAGTTTTAAAATTCACTAGAGGAGATTATAATTTGACAAAATCAGGTATTTCATAGTGTACCGTCAAATTCAACGATTCCTGCGATGGTTAGTATCTCTTAGAAGGATAATTACAAGATTATTTCTATCTTATTCCGAACAAAAATGTTCTTAACCACATCGTAATAAGAATCACAATCACAACCCGCAAACAACAATGAAATTATAAATTCAATAAAAAAATCTTACCATAGAGAGTGACGTCATGAGCCGTTTGAAGTTTCCAGATGTGTCACCGCGCAGGTCGTCCTCAAGAAGATTTCCGTACACTGTGAAACAAAAACACGTTAAAAATGAATAAATTAATTCATTAAAGGAAAACAGCTTTTATGAATTATAATATTAAACATTTTTATTTTAGGTCTTAATTACAAAATAACATTTTAATTACACATAACATAACATCACGCCTTTTATCCCCGAAGTGGTAGGCAGAGGTGCACTCTATAGCACTTAATGCCACTATACAATGTAACACCCACTTTTCACTATATTATGAGTCTCATGTAATAATTCATTATGCCTATTCCTATATACCAGGCACAATTCCAGACTCCGTGCTACTCCTGAGATTGTTTTTTAAAAAACTCAGTAGTACTTTGCCGCACCGGGGAAGCGAACCCGGCAGTCGCACTTGCAACATCTCGGCCAACGAGGCAGCGTTTTAATTCTTTGCAGAAATAGTACAAGCAGCCAGTCAAGTCAATTTCAAGTTCAACACATATAGATAAGAAAAATAAAGATAACTAAGTCTTTTTCTAGCAACACAATTTGAACTCTGTATCACCGTTTTAAAGTTGGTAATGCTCCAAAAATCTCGACTTATTCATCGAAAATCATAGGGAAATTCACGATAAACATTTAAAATAAGGGATGAGTCAATGGTATTGTTTTGTTTGCTATACTTTCCCAACAGTGACGTACGTTGGAGGGTTGCCCATAACAATATTACTAAGAACTAAAGAGTTTCTATATAGGTATAGGTACTAAGAATCAATGGATTTCCCACTAACAGATTTCTTATTCTCGTATCAGAATCTAAATATATATTCTTATAATAGAAATTCTAGACTACCGGGCAAGGGGTCTCGGGTTCAATTCCCGGGTCGGGTAACGTAACCCTGGGTTTTAAAAAAAATCTCAGTAGTAGCACGGAGTCTGGAAATGTGCCTGGTATATGGCAATAGGCTCACCCCCTATTACATGGGACTCATAACATAAATAGTGAAAAGTGGGTGTTACCTCTGTGGGCACCTCTGCCTACCCCTTCGGGGATAAAAGGCGTGATGTTATGTTATGTTATGTTATTTTCTAGAAAGTATCGAAAACAAGAATTGCTTAATGGTCAAGAACTTATAACTACATTACAAAAAAAAAACGATTAACACCATTTATTATTGTGCTAGGTACTACGATTTTAAATTTAGAACAGTTGTTACGGAATCTATTCTATTCTTTCCCTTTGATATTCTGAGCTAGTGAAGGCTAGTGAAGTCAAGAAAAAAAGAAAAAAGAATGTGATGTTCATCGAACGAGACCACGTACGGCGCTCTAATTGGTTCATTCATTGGAGGCGACCAATCACAGCATCGAAAGCCGTAAAACAAACTCGTAAGCCCTCTGTTAGGGAATAATAGAAAAGAAAACGTTTAAACCAATTCTATATAACTTAACGTTGTTGTCGAGTCGTTAGCACAATCAGACATCGTGTACAAATAATATCGACCCTATCACGCGGACATTAAAACATAAATTCCTCCGATTACAAGCCATCAATCTTCTACTTGAGAACATACCGAAGGCTATAATGCCAATATTAAGCAAAAAAACTGTTGAATCATCACATCAAAAGGCCTATGACGTAATACTTCGACATGCAGTCAGACATTTTGGCAGCGCGCCAAAAATATTGTTCTGTTCCGTATAACAATCGTTAAAACATCGTGTTAACTCTAGTTTAGTGTACAAACGATAGGAATTTTATGAATAACGCTAATTTTGTTACAAATACTAATGTCGTAAGATAAGAAATAGATTTGAAATGTATATTTGCATGATATTGCATTTGAATTGTTGATCGGTAGTTTACAAGTGAGGTATTCGAGAATGTGATCTCAAGTTTTTTCATCATGTCTAGTAAAGTATTAAGGAACTACATAATAGGGTAAATGCCTAATTTTTATTTTTATGTCCGTCTGGTAGATTAATTTTAAATCATTAGACACGTATTTTTTATTTTCTTACAGAAACGAATACTTTAGACGATATATTAATTTGAAATGTCGCGTGACGTCACTTCTATGTACATTTTATACGTAGAAATGACGTTTTAGCCCCCACTCCTAAATTTTGATTCGTTTTATTTAAGTATTGTTTTATTATACGACAGAATAAAAAAATACGTGTCTAATATTTTTTCAGTACCTAACTTACGGACTAATTATATTTTTAATTTTTATAACTTGTCATCTATAATCATCATCAATAATTGCTAAAAAAAGTTTGAGACAGCTTTAACATTATGATACTACTAGGTGATTAAATATCTATGTGTTAGAGCAGAATTCCAATCACTTTTAATACCACCAACCACCAACAACCACCAATAACTAAAAATAATCTGAATGCTCATTCAGAAAGTCAAAACGATTATTTAGTAATAGTATCTTTAGTATAGTGTATAAGAAACACATTCTGTGGGTACATTTCAATCCTTGTACGATGTATTGTATTTAACAGTAAACCAATAATTAGAAAACATGTTGAAACAGCTAATTGATATAAAAATTTTCTCTAAGAAAATACATAAAACGGTAGAAAAACGTAGCTAAATCTCAGACTAGAACACTAGAATATGGATTTTTCAATAGTCTTAGTAATAACAGTGACTTGGAATCGTGCCCAAAACACCAACGCAACACAGCTAGTATTTTTTCACATGAGCTATCCTACGAAACTAGATTCGCACGTTATACGCACTCGTACAGATAAATAAAATTTGGTCTGTTTGTAATACAGAAGTAACCGCTTTTTACTACACGTATATCAATACACATATGATACATACACTAACTAATGTCTGTCTGTTTGCTTGTTCTGACTAATCTTTGAAATGGCTGTAAGTGAATAGGTTGCTTATGGGACTACATATTTGTAGTGACTGGGATACTATTGTGGAGACAAGTGAAACGAATATTCATATACTCGACATTGTATAGCGCATCGGATGTATAAGTAGATATACAGATCCTACATACTCCATCATAGACCGCATCATCGCTTACCACCAGGCGAGATAGTGGTCAAATGTCGTCCCAACAAATAAGAAGAAAAAAAATGGCTGTACCGATTTTCGACAGGACTTTTATTGACAGGTACCTGATGTACTAAGGAGTAACTTCGACTACTTTTATTTTAGAAAAACGCAGACGAGGTTCGGTTACTTACATCTAGTTTTATATTAAACCTAGTAATTGTAGTTATCAGGTGTGAACACTAACATTGATTCAGTTCAGTACAAAGACAGTAAGTTAGTTGACTACGTGGCTACTGAAATGACCAATGGTTACAAAAGACATGGTTTAAGTAATAAGTATAATGGCAGTAATATAATCTACGCCATCAATCATTGTTCGGGAAGGACTAAGAGAGAGCAATATAGGTACCTCTCACTCTGGACTGTATTGACAAACTGCTTTCTAATTACTAGCGAATCTTTCCTTGCTATGCGAACTATAGAAGAGGTATTCCTAGGGAAGACACGGTTATCATCATTATCACCAACAGCCCAAGCCAGGCTGCTGAACTATGAGTCACCTCTATAATATAGTCTGTACTAGCTACTTCCGCGCGATTTAACCCACTCTGTTCGACGCCTATTGATCGCAGCGTGATGTTCTATAGCCTATAACGTTCCTCGATAAATGGGCTATCCAACACAAAAAGAACTTATTAAATCGGACTAGTCGTTTTTGAGATTAACGCGTTTAAACAAACAAATTCTACAGCTTTACCATAATAGTATGAGATATAAAGGTGCTCCCTCAACGGGAGCATTCGCGTGTAATGTAACGTTACAGATCTGAGCATTATATCAGTGAAGGAGGAGAACCGAGCATTACAATGCGCTTCTTGTAATGATACAATGTGTAATATCTTGATACAACTTGTAACATCAATATTTGACATCTTGCTATGAAATGCTCAAAGTCGAATCTATATGTTACATTACACGTGAATGCTCCGTGATCAGCACCTTAAGAGGAGATTGCCATAATCACTACGCTTGGCAAGTGGGATGGAGATCGTAGTTCAACTGGTTTATCAAAAAGCGCTGCTGGTCAGTTTCTCTTAATATGTCGTCTCATAACCGGCTCTTATATAGCACCCACGGGAGGAAAATGAGTGGTGACCAATGACAAACGCTGCCACCATCAGACTACATTACAGGACAATACGTCGATTACGGTTACGCGGTAACTGTTAAGAAGAGTACCAATCACTAAGCCAAATGTAGGTCGAAAATTATGCAACATTTTTAACTGTCACGAAACAAAAAAGTCGCACGTTTTATGATAAGTAGCTATTCTATATTCTTCAAAAGGAAAAAGGATAATTAGTTAAAATTTTAAACTGTGCAAACATTTTAATAAGTGGTAACATTTTCCTTGTATATAAGCATTCCATATCCAGGAAAACAAATCAATATACTATAATTTTGTTATCACAATTGTGTCGACATAACTCAATCAAGTCAACATAATCGGCAATTGAGACGTTCTCTATTGATAACGAACCAAAAGGGGTTAACACACGGGTCTAGGGGAAAAACCAGTTGATTTGTGTTTAAAGGAATTTAAACTCCAATAACAGAATACAAAGTTGACAATACAATGAACCGAAATCACGAAAAAAAGACCTTTTTCGCACATACATAATTCAACATAACATAACATCATGCCTTTTATCCCCGAAGGGGCAGGCAGAGATGTACATTATGCCACTGTACAATGTAACACCCACTTTTCACTATTTATGTTATGAGTCCCACGTAATAGGGGTGAGCCTATAACCATATACCGGGCACAACTTCAGACTCTGTGCTACTACTGAGATTTTTTTTAAAACCCAGTAATAATTTGCCCGACCCGGGAATTGAACTCGAGACCTCTTGCCTGGCAGTCGCAATTTCGACCACTAGGCCAACGAAGCAGTCAAGCATTATTTAAGTAGGTACAATTACATTGGATCGCTGACACAACTGACTAATATCCTACTATTATTAAAAATGCGAAAGTTTGTATAATTGTTTATTAGTCCTTCTGAAAGAATTCCTGAAATTTGGACCAGGGATATATTATAGTTTGGAATGACACATAGGAATTTGGAATAACCACTTTATTTGCTACAGGAACGCGGGCGAAACCGCTGGCAGAAGCCACATACTACATATTAGGCGTGTTTGAAGGAAACGATTCATTACGCGGGCTCAAGGACTGATGTCCTAGAAACTCTTAGTTTTGCACCAATTTACGCAATTTCATACCAATCGTATATCATCGTTGCAAATAAATGGCATTGCTTGTATCCGCTGCGAGATTATACGTATAACTTTAGTCTCGTCGTAATGTGAATGTAAATGAATTGTTCTTGTGACTTGAGCTGTTTTACTTTATAATATACCTAGTGTGTTTACTACAAAAGCGAAAGAGGTTTGAAGAAGAGAGAACCAATTACCGACTACTACGATTCCTACATGGAATCGTAGTAATTGGCGTTCCATTCGATCGGGATTTTTTTACCAAAACCGAAAATGTTAATATCTCAGAAACTCACTTTCCGACCAGAGACCTCAGGGCTAATTTTGTAGGAAATTTGTTGTATTATCGCCTACCGAGAGGAATACGTCGAGTTACAAGTCACCCTGTATATCATAGCTACTTAAGTACTTATGAAGATCTACTCTTAATAATAGTTCAATCAACTCATTATGTCTAGTAATGTCATCACCTGACAAGACGCGTTGACGCATTCATTCATACTTAGCACGTAAGAGCGAGACACAAAATCAAACTGTACTATGTATACCTATGTATAGTATGTATGTTACATAGGTGTGTATGTATGTAAAGAGTATATAGTATAACATACTATCAGATTCTAACTAACGACAAACACTTCAGAATAATTAAAACTGGAATGGGTACAATGAGTGCTTGATATTTATCAATAGTTAGTATCCGCAGAATGACGTATGCACTCACACAAAGCGTTTAAAAACTAGAACAAAACTAACTATACTGGCCAATAATTTGAATCTTATTTCAAAGACAATAAAGTCGCAGTTTAACGAAAAATGTAAAGCATAGAAGAACTAGGCATGTGTGTGTGGCAAACTGAAAAATAGTTATGGTAGATTATATTTACATACTGTCAAAAGATAAAAGGGTTTTTTCCTAACATAGTATGGTGTATATTAATTTCAAGGCTTTCACAGACATAGAGATAATGATTCATTTTAAACTCTAAAAAAGCCAGCTTGAGGTTCAATTTAGTGCGACCTTATAATATGAACCGTCCATATTGGAGTTGTGCCTCCGGTAACCTCACTCGCATAACGAAACACAACGCAAGCGTTGTTACACGTCTGTCTTCTGTGAGGCCGTGGTATCACTCCGGTCGACATTTATTGCAATTTCAGCCCTCATGCCACCGAATTTCAAAATCTATAGTAAAGTCACAGGTAATCCAAAATGCCTGACAATATTCTCGAGATATTTTGACCAAGAATATGAACTGGTGTTGAAAATCACTAAGGACGTCTTTTTATAACAATTGAGTCTAGGAAAAGCTACGATTCAAATTTAGAATACCATAACTTCCACGTAGTTGTGTAAGCATTCCACTATTTAGAAGCTGTTGCGATAACATGATCCAAAATTAAAACCATAGACATCTAACGCTAATTAAAACTTCACGAATAGTTTACCGGTTACTATTATCAGTTTTCACGATATAACAAGGAATAATAATAAAAATGGGTAAATCCCTAAAAACCTCGACATTCATCTTAAGAGACTGGTGTTAGGCGAATTAATGATACAGAAGGCAGTTCTCTTATCGTGAGGAGGTTTCTGTCTTTGGAGCCCTAACCACCGGCAACTTGGGACCATAAAAGCATAGGAGCCGACCAGTAGCTCCCGCTACTGGTCGGCTCCTATGCTTTTTTTTTGTAAGTAGTAGTAGTAGTAGTTTTAAATAAGTACATGTCGATAATAATGTTATGACAATATCAAAAACAGTAGTTACCAATTAAACGACCACTAAGTTTGAAATACTGAATTATTTATCATATTTTCCGGTTCACCTCAACGGTTTTAGTGACTTGGTACCATTATTCTGGATAATAACGTAGCATCACCCGCAAAACGGTAGTTAGTGTTGTATTTATAAATAGTAATGACGTAATAACACCCTTAAGGACAGAAATTACGTGTATAATGAAGCCACATGATAATTAAACTTCATTAAAATTGTAGTGTAGAACACTCGTGAATATTGCAGAAACATGAAAATGATACAACATACAAGTCCTTGGTAAATGAGACAACTGCTTAACACTTTAAGTTTCAAAAAAAAAAACAAATTAGCACAATTTTATTCTTGTTCACCCACTACTAACAGCAAAACTGGAAAGGGACGATTAGGAAAATTCTTTTTATTTTCATTAAGACTTGATTTGGAACTCGTAGAGCAAGGTAAACAAGAAGAACAAATACAAAATAAAAGAAAAACAGGACAGTTGGTACTCACTAGCAGTGTAAGTCTGCTTGATGACGTTGATCTCGTGGTTGGACATGGTGCACATGACTTCAATGAGAACGTCCTCATCAGTGCCGATGCCCGCGATGGCGTCATGGAGCTCCTTACAGTAGAACTGTGGCAAGGGAGTCATCAGAGCCACCAGTAGATCCTCAAACTTGCCACTGGTTTCGCTCTTCAAATCCGCGACCAGATCCTGGGAGAAGAAAATGTCTTTTAGGCTGACATTTTTATCCAACAGTAGAGTTTATATTTCGTATACTTCTTACTTCTAAATTATGCCGTAGTGCAACTAGCTCTTGTTCAGAAGCGTCGATACATAATATCAAGTGCATTAAATACTACGTAGTCACGCTTTTAATAACACACATATCGCGTTGTTCCTTTGCATCTCGACATTGTCAAATGGACAAAAGTAGTTAGGTTTGTAGCCTGAATATTTAAATAAATCAACAGACGACACGAGTGACTGAACCAATCAATAACTGTCAAGTTCGGAAAACCGAAAGACACATCTACAACTATGTAGGAATACTAAAATTGTATTCAAGTCAAAATGTATCTCTCACTGTACACATAGCATTGTATAGTTTGTGTAGCGACATCGTACTTTCGGCTATAGCCTTGGTTGGCCTTGAGTTGTTCCCATGAGGAAAATCTACTAATGACGAATTATATTACATCATACGACGGTCACGCTTCGAGACGCTTACTAGTTTAAACTCAATACGAGTTCTTTCTAGGAAACTGTCTAACTAGGTAAAGCATTCTCGGAAGAGCTAATCCCATGTTGCAAGAAAAAATCAATATAGAAACATTATGAAGAGCGTTTATTCTGTTATTCTGTCTATTTTTTTTAAGGATAAGAGGCAAACGAGCAGACGGATCACCTGATGGTACGATCAGCGCCGCCCATGGACACCCGCAACACCAGAGGAGTAACAGGTGCGTTGCCGGCCTTTTAAAAAGGAATACGAAAGGTTTGAAGGTCGTATATAAATATATAAACTTGGAACTTGCAATTGCAATTCATTTTTCATATCGGCTACAAGTACAACGCACCTATTACTGAACACAGGCCTTTCCCTTCTCCCTGTCCTATTCATTGAAACATAGGTAGAAAAAAATCAACTATTCCATTAAAATCGGTTTAGTAGTTGCTATGGTTTGGGATTTGGTATTTTTTTTTAAACTGCACTGCGCAAACGCGCTAATTTATTTTCGAACTTTTTCCTCGTGTAGGTATTGTAAACAAGCCACTAAAATCGACCTATGTAGCAAAATAAATTAAAAATGATTTCCTCAATGATATGTCATAATCATAATATGGTTAAATAACGTCAGTCACTGATTTCAGAATGTATATTAATACCTATGTCCCATTTTAATTAGATTTTAGAGATTCCAATATATAGGTTTCGGTCACACGTACATTTTATAAAAGATCGAGCCTCATAGTACGGGACCTCTGTGGACCTTGTGTGAATAGATACGACAAAAATCGACTTTCATATCCCTTTATATCGTATTTCAATCAGTTACGCAGTTTATGAATGAGAAATATGTTAGGGAGCTGAGTTACAAGTAATGTTTAATCCAGTTCAATCGTTAGCACTTCATTCCAGGAAAGATATAGGTATCATACATACAGCTACATCTATCCCTATATCTATAAGTACATCTGCCTCTATATCTAGTTACATTCTTGCAAGGTCAGTGTTGGGGGCAAAATAATCGATAAATGACGTTTCGATATCGGATTGGCCATCTGATCCGAATGTAAGGGGATGGAGGACTTGTTTACGAGGAATCAATGGGTGTTTGTAACCGAAGTAAACCTGGATCGATGTAATGGCGACGACGCGTCCCGCCAAAACTAGGTTTTGGCGCGTTTTATAGACCTTTCTCCCGTATTACTTCGACAGTTAGAAAGCTAAGGAGACTTTGTTTATATGTTTGTTGTTGACATAACATAACATAACATCACGCCTTTTTATCCCCGAAGGAGTAGGCATAGGTGCACATTTCGGCACTTAATGCCACTGTTCACCCACTTTTCACTATTAATGTTATGAGTCCCATGTAATATGGGGTGAGCCTATTGCTATATACCGGGCACATTTCCAGACGCCGTGCTACTACTGAGATTTTTTTTAAAAAACCCTGTAATATTTTGCCCGACCCGGGAATCGAACCCGAGACCCCTTGCTCGGCGGTCGCACTCGACCAACTAGACAGTTTGTTGTTGAATTTCGCAATATTTCGAGTCTCTAGTATCTAATATCTACTAGAAGTAGTTACGTGCCAGAGAGTTGATTGTGAACCCAAAAAGGGCAAGAAAACTGGTCATAATGTCAAGCAAAATGACATATAAATACGAATTGCACTAATTTCCTTGTAGGACTGCATTTCTAGACTGTGTTTGAGGAAAAACCTATCGTCAGAATTTTAATTCGATTCCAGATTTGACATTAGCTATTGTCATTTTGTGAAATAATGATACCACATATTATAGCACGGAATATAATAGTGTAGTGATGAACACAAAATAATACACAATACAACATAACACACAATAAATGTTACAGAAAGTCACAACAATAGCGATGGCGATGACGGCAACAATTTATAAAATAAATTATTACCATAATACATCTATCTGTTTTATTTGTCATGTTCCTTCATGATCACATTTTTTTATTTATTTCACACAAAATTATAAAAGTAAAGTCACAGATCGCTTATTAATCGTCAAAACTAAATTATCGGTTCAGAAATATTTAATTTCCTGATATACAACGTCACTATTTAGTACTTGTCATAACGTTGCAACACTGAAATTGTCAGATCTGGAATCGAATTAAAATTCCGAGTATAGTCCTGAAATGTACATGGCACCTATAAATATTTGAACTAAAAACAACATTGCATGCGGCCATGTGACGTGAACACTATAGGTAGACTTAATAACCTAGTTGGAAATGCGCTTATCGTATGTATTAGGTCTCGAATGTACTATATAAATTATAGCTCTGATTATAAATATGTTACGTAGGTATCTCAAGGCCTGTATTAGTACTTATTACAATAATTTATTTGATGAAAATATCTGGTCAATATTTATTGAAAGTATTCATATTACATAAGTAGTCGTCAAAATATGTATTTGAAGCACATATGCTGATAATCAACGAGTCCTATCTGTATCTATTCCAGATGGCTTATCTATTATTATTTTTAATACTGATTTTAAGTTTTAGGCGATTCCAAAAAAAGATCTCTGACGCTGAAATACTCAAACGGCACTCAAATTTAAGTAGCACTTAACTATAGTTCTGTCACTACATATTCTTTCAAAAAATGATAGCAGATGGCACGATATTTAGGTACAACTTAAAATTCAGTACCTAGCCTTTCCGTATTCGGGATTTAATCTTTATGTTTGATTCACCAATTTACAAGACACGTGTAATAACGGAGTACGTACAGGAATATTAAGTATTTAAAATTATATCTAACATTTTTATTAGAGACTTCGTTCGAATACGTATTACCTAGGTAATTCTGTCTAACTATAGTACCTAATACCTATAGTATTAATTATGGATCACTAGCTTTTACCCGCGGCTTCGCTCGCATCACAAAAGGATAAAAGTAGCCTATCTGACATATACCAATACACACAGAGCCATCTATTTTTTTTCGAAAATTTTCCGGGATAAAAAGTACCTTATTATTTAATCTAAATAAATGGTGCTAAATAAATGTTTTTTCTTTCTTTCTTTCTTAATCTGGACTTCTAATTTTACGTCTGCAAAAAGTCAAAGCAATCGGTTTAGAAGTTACGGCATGAAAGCGGAACAAACAAATAAACAAACAAACTCACTTTCCCGTTTATAATAGTGTAAGGTACCTAACGCTTCTCTCTATAGGTCTGCAAAAATAAATTCATAGGCATTTAAGTAATTAGTTAAACAAAATTGGAAGCGGCGCGACGTGTAATTAATAAGTTGATGGGAGCTGCCTTTTAATTAATTGGCAAATTGTCACCCCAAGGGCAGACATTTGCAATTACTCTCGTATTAAAACGAAACCAACAGAAAAGTTGGTAAAAACATTATTTTTTCTTCTACAAGGTGTTGTTTTAAAGCCGCGTCAGGATTTCTAGGAGGAAACTCGGATATCGATTCTGAGTCTGAATCAATAAAAAAATGTTTATGCCAATATTTTTAATTTTTCTGAATTTACGGAAATTCGTAAGTGCGAAGTTCACGTCGCCGTCTTGTAACTAGCTTTATAACGCGGCTTAACACACACAAACTCAAACACGTAATTGATATTATTCCTAATTCCATAAAACTCCAATAAGAAACATTGCTGTCGCTTATTCTGAAATACTGTCGAACTTAAACGATTTTTTAGCCGTATTTTTAACTATTGGTCCGAAACTTTCTCTGACATAAAGGTTCACCTTTATGACTTCTGCGACATGTCCCCGAGAAAATACACGGCTGCAAAACTACACCTTGTAAATGAATAAGGATTTAAAAATATCTTGAACTCCATTTCCCAGGCAAGAATTCAGGACATTAGCTGCTAGTGAATGCAACTATTCGAGATAGATAAGCATCCAATATATCGGTAAGAATCCAGAACCAAATAACCAGAAGACCAAAGTCATAAAACTTTATTCAATGATTTATCTGAAGATTCTAATCTTAATACGATACTGACAATGTATACATGTAAACAATGTTGTTAAGATATAATCTTATCATGACTGTAGGTAGAATGTAATGACTAAGTACCTACTCGTGCTACTACATTCCTGATAAAATTGTTTACAAAATTATACAAGTGTTTTCAACGAAGGAAATCTAACACTCCTTCCACACTAGCGGCAAACCGCGCGGCTAGGCGCTCCCTGCGGTTGACCGATTTTACAATTTAATATGCTACCGCTATGGCAACCGCGTCTGTCGAAACGAATCGCCTTAGGCGGTCAACCGCTAGTGCGTAGGGGGCTTAAGGCCACTTAGAGAACATTGTGATAGGGATGGAATTTCTATTGTCGATAAAAAAAATGGGACAAATAGGTACCTATCTTACGAAGTGCTAATGTCGAAAACTACTGGACTGATTCGGATAAATATAATATTTTTAACCTATCAGAAATTGACGAAAACATTTATAAATAAAAATAAGTAAGTTTTTTATTCGGTCTTTACTCCGCACTACGTATAGTAAGCAATGCAAAGTTTACGTTAACACTGAATCAAAGCATTGAAAATAAATGATGTCACATTTATTTGTTTCTGCATACTTCAACTAAACACCCGATTAAAAAAACTTTAGAACGAACTCTTGAACTTCAAACTATTTTCGGAAGCAGAACCTAATGCAATTATTATAAAATCATTTGAAATAGTCTAGACTAGCGCCGGCGCCGCAGACCTTGAGCTGAAAAGGAGAGCAAACCAACAGAAATACGTTCATCTCTTTCAAACTTACCTTTCCGTAGAGAGTCTTGAACTCAAAGGCGATTCGGAGACGCTGTTCATTAGTGCGTCTAGATAGGACGTGGATAATAGCCTTCTCGTCTGTACCGAAGCCTTTCATGGCCTTCCGAAGGACGGCAGCATCTTCCCGAGGGTCGAAGGGATTTGCCGGCACAACAGTCGGCTTCGTCTGTAAAGGGAGACACTTTTAGTACGGATAATTTTGGTAGGTATTAACAGAACAAAGCTAAGAAAATGTTGTTAATAAGTAGATTAGATTAAAGCATAATAATAATTATAAAAATATATGAATGGTATAGTATAGTTAAAGTAATATAAGCCATTCGTGTAAAGAGCTTCGTATCTTCGTGTAAACAACTTTAAAAAATCAGTTTTTCCAATTACAATCTACAAAGATGGCGTCATAAAATGCAATCTACGGACTATTATATTATTGAACGCTGCATATGCACTACAATCACTAGAATGGGTACCCAGGCCCGAAAGACAGGACATCAACCAATCAGATTGAGGCTAGCGTTAGCGTAAGCATTATTTGATTTAAACGGTCCTAGGGACATGACATGGGGCTATTTTTCGAAAGACGGATGGATTTCATGGAGATGGTACAAATAGTGCAAGCAGAGAAACAACGCAGTGTATCGGTGCACAAAATGGGAGCATATTTTGAGAATGAACATTGTTAGTGAAGGTTATTTCGATCAAACTTAAACCAGTACGAATGTTATAAATGATTCAGCAGACTATAAAACGCAATCCAAAACAGGCAAATGATCTAAAATGTCCAATAAAGGCTTTTGTATCGCAGATAAACAAGCAATTGAGTTCGCTAAAACGTTATCTATAACGCGACAGCACTTAGTTTAATGGCTAAAACATGACCTAATATCGCTGTAAGGCCAAAATATCTCTAATTCGCTAACTACCTATGATCACAACAAGTTTAACTTGTTAACTCTAACTCGATTGTCTTACAATTGCAAGACACAATTGAAACTAATTCGTCATTGAAACATAAAAGAAAATAAATACCGTATAACGAAACGATTTGAATCCTCGTCGTATACCAATTGATGCTCTGTAAGCACTGCGCATACTCGAATTGGATGTTACCGAAGACATATTAAACTCGATACTTTTGTCGATAACACAATTAACAGCGTCACATCACTATTAAACACTATTATAGATTAAATATTGTGTTTAGAGGTGAGAATAAAGGTGTATTTGGAGATCACTACATCCATTGTAGTGGGGACCAATGCCAAGACTGAATCGTACGTGGCTTTGATAAATGTACTGAGAGGCGAAGTGAGCATAACAATGTAATTGCAGCAAAATGTTCCTTGAATAGAGTCACAGTCCGAGTAGGTACGTCCACTGTCCAGCCTCCTGTGTTACACTAAATAATGTGACGTCGTGAATTTAAAACGAGCTCTTTAGTTTTTCTTATTCTTAAAAGTTGTTAAGGGATGAGATTTGCATTCGATTACATTGTCTTATTTGAAAATTGGTTGAACCACAAAAGTATTAAAAAAAGAAAACAATAAAATTTTACTCAATCTGGGAACCGAAACTGTCCTCGACACTTGCGTGACAATTGCTCGACAGTCACCTATGCAACCACTCTACTAAATATTTCGATCATCTTATCAATTACACTCGTGATCCATCGTAGACCGCATCATCGCTTACCAGTACCACCAGGCGAAATAGTGGTCAAACGTCGGCTCATCAATTATAAAAAACTAACTACAGACTAGTTATACCTACACAAAAAGGTTAAATTGATGAGAGAATCGAATTCAACCTTAACCTACAAGGGTCGTTCTGTTGACCAATTTCCGATGCCTCAGTGACCGTTAAAACTAATCCCATTAGAGCAATAGGCGCAGCAGATCGTCAATTTTGCGAAGTAGAACAGGCGAATTTGATTCTTACGGGATAATCCTTTAGCTTTATTTTTATTTATTTTGAAACAGTAAGTTCATTTTAAAAAGAATTACTTTATTAGTATAGAAATACTAAATATTGTTATCAACTTAAACAAATATGCAACATACTTCTTAGTCATACACTAATGGCAAGCCACCAATGAAAGTGCATGAAGGCTAAAAATAGCATTAACGGTCAGTTGTCAATAATGCATTGAATGAAAATTAATGACTCATATTATGGTTGCCATTTAAGAGAGAAAAAAGAAATTACTCATAACATTACATAACAATTTTTATTCCTCAAAGGCATAGGCAGATTTCTTTATGAAAAAAGTTACCCCCACCAGGTATTTCTCCTATGTTGTGGGTGCATATACAAAAGTTCATATACACATGACACCCAGACCCGGAACAACAATTTATGGATCACACAAAGAGTTGTTCCGTGCGAGAATCGAACCCGCGACACGTTGTGAGTAACCAAATGCAGTAATGCAGCAAACAGTAAATGTAACACCAACTTTTTATAAGTTACTTAAGTTATTTTTATTTTATTGATATTCAATTAAATAAAAACTGAAATAAGGAGTAAACAAATATAATAGGTATACTAAATTAAATGAAAATGATCAAGCCCTTTACTCAAGCATCAAAAAGCATGATAGATAATAAACAACAAAAATAAATCATGCAATTATAATAATAGTAGCATTGTTCTGCTTATCACAAAATAAGTAGCTCTTCAATAAGATTAGTACGACAATAAATATGAGTCAACTCGTAAAACATAACTCGTCAACTTGTAACAGATAGAAAAATAAGACAAGAAAATAATATTTGCGACGTTGCCTATTAACAAAAGCAGTTCAACATACCTTTGGCATTGCAACATATGATGAAGACACATTGTAAGCTTGGTGGCTAGCATGAGACTGACTATACTGTTGTTGCCCCTGGTATTGATTAGTTTGCGGGTAACCGGGGCTACTTTGAGGGTAACCTGGGCCACTTTGCGGGTAACCAGGATTACCTTGCCCTTGAACAGGGTAACTACTTTGAGCAGGTTGGGCATACCCTTGTTGAGCCTGTTGGGGGTACCCGGTTTGAGCAGTCTGTGGGTAACCCTGACCTGGGTACCCTTGAGCAGAATTTGGATAACCCTGATTCACTTGTTGTCTCGGATATGGAGAGTTTTGTTGTTGAGGGTAACCCTGCGATACCTGGGGGTATCCGGGAGCGCCACCAGGCTGGGGTCCTGGGTATCCCATTGTTGGCATTCCTGGCATAGGCATTGGGTTCCCAAAAGACTGTGGGGCACTGTTGCAGAATCCAATATTATGATAGTATTGTTGTTGCGGGTTTCCTTGGCCCTTGAAGGAAATGAAAATTTAAATCAATTCATTATCCTATTGATAATGTGAAACAATGGCCCTACATACAAATAGCATACACCTAAACCATAATATATATATTATACCTACAACAGATCATCCTCATGTCTATTGTCATAACTAACAAAATGTCAATTACTGAACACAGGCCTCACCCAATTTGAAGTTCAGATTTGTTTTTTTTTTAATAGGAGGACATTTATACTACAAGTTTTGTTTTCCATGGCATAATTTAATCTGTCAAACACCAAGCGGTCACCGGTGACCGCGACCTATTGTTCTTTAATTGTGTCTATAAAACCGGTACTCGACGAGTTAAATCAAATAAAACCTACCTACACTTATTAAACACCTAGATTCATTTAAACTCTACCTACATAGTTAACTTATCATAGCAAAATGATTTACAATAGTAATACTTAAGTATTTTTATAATGACCTGCAATTATTAAGCACAAAATTAATTCTTTCACAAGCTACTTTTAAAGAAACTAGGTGAACAACATACAATAACCTACTTTTAAAAACTTATTTGTTAAGATTTTAAAAATAATACATATTTAAATGAACATAGGTCTGAAATGATTAGGTTATATTTATACCAGGTGCTATTAAAATGACGGGATTATTTAATGGTATTCTTTTAACTGGCCTGATCTCAAATCTCCAATAATAATTATGTGTAAACATTTCACAGACAAAAAATTCACAATATAAAAAAGTTTCGATCATTTAAAAATATTCTGCGGTATACAATCATAACAACAAACACTTATCTAACTTATTTTTGTGATAAACAAAACAGTAGCCGGCCAAAATGCGTTGATATCACCTAACTAATCTTGCAAACTTATTCCGTCCATTCAGTCTTAACATGCGTTGAAAAAAAACCAAAACCAAGCTAACACTAACTACTAAATAACGAAACAAATTACTTACTTGCTGCCACGGATTCATTTTAATACAACTTTATTGATGAAGAACTTATCACACACTGAACTGAGCGCCGCTGGTTTACTCACCACCGATCTGGATTAATAGTATAGTGACGAACCACGGGTCAGTGACTAATTGTATTGCACAATGAACACAAGACCCTAATGTGATGACGTGGGTCGATTTCCTTCCTACTCCTACTTTTTATAAAAACTACTTTAGCGAGAACTGGAAGCAATGCAATAACCGAATGCTATGACGTCTACAAATAGCAAGCACGTAAATGTCATTGACTCTCATTGACGTTGGCGATTTGACATTATGATGATAATGACAGCTGACAGCCGTACAGTTTCGTGTTGCCAACTACTATTTTCATAAAACTTCTACAGCCCACAGATTCTTTGTTTAAAACATGTTAATTAATAGCACAATTTCGCTTCCCAAACGCAATTTATAATTTTTAAACATCTAACTACTTTCCTGAAAATAAAAACACGTTTTAAGTTACATAAACAATGTCGAACCAAATCTACCGTAGTACAAAATAATATTATGTTTGGCAACCCGTTTGAATACTGCAGACAAGAGGCGCAAACTTTTGAATTGGAATATTTTAATAGTGATCAAAAATACCGCGACATTATGTTCATCCGGCATAATCATACTCATATCACTTATCAGTTTCATAATCCTATTAGCTCCTCGTTTGACTATGTGTGTGTGTTTGTTACTATTTCACGTCAAAGGCCTGAAGGGATCGAAATTAAATTTCAGAACAGGTGTAGATAACGGTCTGGATTAGACCCAGGCCACTTTTTATCGCACGAAAACGTGGGCGAAGCCGCAGGCAATAGCTAGTACCCAATGAATACTTACTGGACGTTGACGGTACAGTGTGATGGTCCCTAACTTTAACGACAATAGGGATGATGATTTGTTATTTTAATGTATTTTAATACGTCTGGTAGATTATTTAAAAACATTAGACGCGTATTTTTTATTTTCTTACGGAAACGAATAGTTTCGAAAATACATATATTAATTTGAAATATCGCATGACGTAAATTTGAGTACGATTTAGGTATATACTTTAAAATTACGTAACTTCACACCTTACCCTTCCACTTCTAAACTTTGATTCGTTTTATCTAAGTATTGTTTTCTTATACGACAAAGTAATAAATACGTGTCTAATATTTTTTACCGACTTCAAAAAAAGGAGGAGGTACTATGTTCGGCTGATTGTTTTTTTTTTTTTTTACCTAACTGACAGACTAATTAGAGTTTTAATTTTCATACCCTGTCATCATCCGTATTTTATTTTATTAGAGAACCATTCAATAAGACAGTAATGCTGCCACAAGTGCCACAACACAAGATAAAAATGCTTAGTGTAGTGATACCTAACTATTTGTTTAAAATGTACCCTAACTTGAGTAGTTTCAAGGCACGCTAGGGGCTTTTATTCATGAGCGGCATTGTACGACACACGGCACAACCGCGCGATTTGGTTATTATATGTCGCGTAATCAACCAATAATACCATTTACCGAAGGTAATTTCACATTATAGCTTTTGTTAGCGACTTTGCCCGTGTTCCCGGTATGAAAAGCACCTACCGTATGTGTTTACATCACAGAGTCCAAACTGCAATCTATTACCTACCTACCTACTGTAAGTGTAACGAATTTCATTCAAACTGATCCTCAAAAAAGTTTCTCATTAATTAATTAATTTATTTTTTTTTTCATTATTATTATTTTTTCATTAGGTATTATTATTTTTTCATTATTATTATGTTTTCATTATTATTATTTTTTCATTATTATTATTTTTTAAGGTGTAAATATTTTAGTTTTAATTAAAACTCGTTTTGTGTAATTGAAAAAAAAAACATAATCTTGAGAATAAAACTCATTAAGTAGGTATAACAGATAGGTAGGTAGGTACCTAATAAATTCCCTCTCTAGGATTTTCCACGAGATTTATGTTTCAATCAAATAGAAAAAAAATGCTTCACCGAATTTAAAAATGTATCATTTTCCAATTTCCAAATACCTATTTTTCACCGTTGTAACTTTGTAACAAAGAATTAAATTCAAAGAGTTCCTATAACAAGTACCTATGTACCTACAAATAGAGAGTCCAGCAAAGAGTATAATAAGTATAGGAGAAGAGTCAAGTCAAAATCACGTCACAGTATGTCACCGTGTTAAGTCATCGTTTTGTGGTTTTCCAAATGTGCGTGAACATAATATGTATAAAAATCATTAAGTTAACAAAAAAGAAACCAAAAGTGAAATGATCAATACCTTTTCCCGTGCAGTTTATTAGAGAAGATAGCTAAATGGCTAGTTGCAGGGCATTATTAGCGGGCCGAAATTACATTTCAAGTGTAGTTTTTACTAATCAAAAGTGCAATACAACATCTTCCCAATACCAGTCTCACAGTACCAATAACTCACGATACGTATTTAAAAAAGCATTTTGTGATATCAAATTGATTCATGGTTTTCATACGGAATCTAAAGATACGATCAAGTATGACTGGAAGAATGCTACTTTGGTTGTCGTAGGCGCTTGTAAAGGCATCGGTTCCCACATCCTAAGCATGGCTTTGAATGAAGGTGTCGAGGTAATTTTTTTATTAAAAAAAGACTTTATACCATATTATAAACGAATAAAGTATAATGAAATGATACGGAATCATTATGGGCCCGAGAGATACTCTATTTTTTTATACATATTTGAAGGGCCGACGCAAAAAGCCATCAGACCACCACAGATGGGGCCCAATAGGGCTGATGCTGATTCGGAGCCGCGGAGAACTTAACGGGTTACCAGGGCTCCGGCTCGAAGTGCAGGAATAGGAACGGGGTGATTTTTAGTCAGTAAGAGTCTGACACTCCTTCCCGCCTCACCCAAGCAGGAGATGTAATTCGACGATTTTGCGCCTTAAAAAAAAAGTGCGACTGCCGAGCAATAGGTCTTGGGTTCGATTCCCGGGTCGGACAAAGTATTACTGGGTTTTTTATAATTTCTCAGTAGTAGCACGGAGCCTGGAATTGTGCCCGGAATATGGTAATAGGCTCACCCCCTATTACATGGGACTCATAACATAAATTATAGTAAAAAGTGGGTGTTACATTGTACAGTGCAATGATGTACCTACGCCTACGTGATGTTATGTTACCTATTATATTATGTTATGTTATTTACATTACAGTCTGTAACAAACTTGGACATAAATGAGAAGGCTGGTTTAGCATTGCAATACGAATTGAATCAAAAATATAAAGACAAAAATAAAGTGAGATTCTTCAAATGTGACATCACCGATGAAAATCAACATATTGAAACTTTGGAAAATGTTATGATGGATAAAACAAAGACCTATGTAATAGTCAATAATGCTGGTTTAATAGAGCAAAACCTAGATTTGAACAACGAATTAATTGATAATAATGTGGTAAGTAAATTTTTATGTTTTAGTGAACACTTTTAACTGTGGGGAGAGCCATGCTTCGGCAGCCATGCTTCGGCCTCACAGTTTTCTGTGAGGCCGTGGTATTACCGGGCTCCGGCTCGACGTGCAGGAGAAGGAACGGGGTGGTTTTTAGTCAGTAAGAGTCTGACACTCCCTTCCGCCTCACCCAGGAGGGAGCAGTGCCGTAACTAGCCTTCTAGGCGCCCGGTGCGAGCTTTCAAAACTGCGCCCTTGAAAAATGTCCTTAACAGGCTCTGACAATAAAATGGACAAATGTGCATGAAAATATAACTGTTTATTGTTTACCAAGTTATAGGTCGGTACTTAGTAGATGTTTTAAGACAATTCGTTGCTGCCATTCCGCCATGAGATCGCGCCGGAGCTCTTCCCCCCCAAGCACTTATCTGACCTCATTGTCAATGTAGGCAAGCCAGACCGGTGGTATCACCCAGGCCTGCACGATAGCGGCTTTCAGGAGCAGCTCCCGATCCAGCTGTTTCAGCGCCCAACGCGGGCCACATGGGGCCTGTCTGACCGGCGGGTCTGCGGACTCGGCGGAGACGTCGAACCGGATATAACCGGTATATCCGGAGGACGTCTCCACCTCCTCCATGACGCGACAGTCAACGATACGCGGTGACAGAGCAGAGCTGACGAACGAAATGTCCACCACCGACTCGCCCTGCATCCGCACGCACGTGGGGACAGAACCCCGGTTCAGGACGACTAGGCGTGCCTCAAGGGCCCAGTCTTCCACCATCCTACCCCGGACGTCGGTGAACCGGGAACCCCAAGCCAAGTTTTTGGCGTTGAAGTCCCCGAGGATGAGCACGGGGAGGGAATGGAACCCGACGACGACGGTGACCAACTCCCTCAAGGAGTTGTGGAACTCGGCGAGAGCTCGGTTCGGAGAGCAGTACACGCCCACCACAGCGAGCTTTCCGAACCGTGTTGCGAAACAACCCCGGCCTCTTTTAGCAGCCTCAAGAGTCGGGGTACCACCGGCGGCCGACGAGATGATGGTCACCGAGCCGTCCAGGGTGTTTACTCTTGAAATCAATCTCAATGTCAATGCAATTACAATCCAATAAAATCTCAATAATTATATAACCCTTATCGTAGCTGTTAAAATAGCACTCAGGGTAGGGAATATAAAGACAAACTCAATACCATTTAGTTGATTCAATATCCATGCAATACGGATGCAATAGGCGCTAGTGTTGCTACTCAAGAGTACGAAAGTTCACAATACCAATGTCGATCGATCGGAATTGGATTCAAGAGTAAGCCCCCAGGTCCGCCACCCAGTGATTCCTGGGCGGGACAAAGTACGGCTCGGACACCACGGCGATGTTTATGGACCACTACGCCATGTTCTGGAGCAGGAGATCCTGAGCAGCGGCGCAGTGGTTGATGTTCGCGTGGCGGAGGCGGAATGGAGCCATTATTGACAGTCCATCCCGACCTCCTCAGTGGCGGCGGCGGAAACGACAGGGGCGGCAGAGGGCCTTCCTTTGCCCTTGGGTTTGGCAGGACGCAGCCCTTGCTCCCGACCCGGTGATTGGGCAGCTTGCCAGCCTCTGCACATGCGTTGCAGTGCAGCGGGGCGGTGCACGAGCCAGTATTGTTATCGGGCCGACCGCAGCGGCAATAATAGTCGCTGCGGTCCACCTCCGAGGTGCATTTGGCGCTCACGTGCTCCCCCACGTGACAGCGATAGCACCTCAGAGGCCGGGTCTCGAGCAACTTGACCTGCGCCGAGGCCAAGAGCCTTTTGCCCGCTTTTAGCTTTTTGGCCGCTATCTTGGGGCATCTGACCACAACCGTGCGCAGCCCCGAGTTGTCTGAACGGATGGCGCCTGCCTTGATTTGGTCAACAGGGCACCCTCCCGTCCTGGCCACAGCGGCCACCACCTCTTGCTCCGTTACCGACTCGTCCAGGCCCATAATCCTTACATCCAGGCATTTGGTGGGCCTGGACACGCGGGCCTCGCCCGCACCGAGACACGCCCTGAGCCTCTCAGCCAGGGTGTCGGCCGATGGGCCACTGGCCGCGCCGGGGACCTCCAGAAGACGGGCTCTGGTAGCGGTCATCTTGACCGCAAACCCGTCTGGGGCCCCAAACTCCGCAGGAGTTACCCCCCCTTGAGCTTGGTAACGCCCCTATTGACCGCCTCGAGCTGCTGTGTAATCACTACAGCCCACTACAGCCGCGGTCCTAGGGGCGAGGAGCAAGGCAGCAGCCCGTTTCTCCCTGCGCTGCTGCTGCCGTCGCTGCCGCTGCGCCTTCTTGCGGCGCTTACGGCCCTCCTTGGCGACTCTCCTCGCCTCACCAGCGATTTGCCACCCACCGCCATCCTCCGCTCGCGGGACGGGTTCCACCGCCGCTGCTGCAACTCCAGCCTGCCGGGATGGAGTGCCTCTCCTTTTTTTTGTTTCGCCCCGCGGGCGCAGGCTCCGCGAGCCGCCGCCGGCGCAGCCGGGGTCGGGGGCGCCGACGCCCAAAGTTATAGTATAGGTACTTTTCTTTGTGTAGGTATGTAATATTGCGAGCAAGACTTAAAGTGGATATATATACATTTGTCTGATGTGTAGTGAGTCGTTTGAAATGTGTTGTTGATTCAAGATCGTGTAAAAATGCGATACAGATTTAGATAGTACAGTCTGGTCATTTCTGCGCCCCTCCAAGGTCTGCGCCCTGTGCCTGGGCACCGCTGGCACCGCCCTATTTACGGCGCTGGGAGGGAGCAGTCATTCGATGATTTTCCCCCCTTGAAAAAAAAGCCTCACATTCTGCTGTGCTCTGTCATGAAGTGATCCAAAAAGTACTCGGTAATAATCTCGTTAATTCTTAATCGAGACATATTTTCTTTCTCTTCAGGTTGCTTTAGTTACCAGTAGTGTAACGGCCTTAGAATTGATGCGCAAAGATGAGAAGGGCAGTGGTGGTGCAATTATTAACCTTTCTCCAGTGTCCAGTCTATGTCATTTGCCATGTCTTCAATGCTACAATGCTACTAGAAGTTCCATTTTGACTTTTAATTTAAGTCTTAGCGTGAGTACCTAACTACATTTTATGCGCTCGGGAGCAAAGTAACGGTGATGGCTTCGTTTCGTGTTTTTCATCTTATTGAAACATCTAGAACTTTCTCATTTTAAAGGTATAATTATATTGCCTTTTACACAACAGACATACGTTACCAATTAATAAAATATTTGTATCAGATAATATTTATTAAGAATTGAAAAACACAGAACGCTAGTGGCCCCGGTTCTTTGATTCCAAGTGTAGTTCATAGGTATTATATGTACCTACACAATTTTTACTGACTTCAAAAAAAGGAGGAGATACTATGTTCAGTGTCATTAGCATGATGGTCACAAAATTGTAAACAGCTTAATATTAGGTACCTACCTATTGAGGTTTTAATGATTTGTTAAGAACTTATGGCGTCGAGTTCTAACCTATCAGTGACTGAGTAACCTATCGGAACCAATAATAATTATTTTTTGCTTTTTAATTTTTACTTATTGTTTGTTTTTAGTATTTGCATTTTTGAAGTTTGTTTTTTAAACGCAGTTTTTATCTTTATACACTGCAGCGTAGTCACATAACTGTGTGACGCCGTCGCTCGACTAGTTTCAGGCCATGTTAGAGCTCATAAGCCGTGACTTTCGAGGAATAAACAGATTGGTGTGGTGTAATCTTTGCTTCGAAATTTAATAAATGTATTTTCTGTCTTTTTAGAGAGAAAAAAATCGATTTTATAGAATTATTGCTTCTTTTGTGAGAATAATATGGTAGGGCACCAACAAGATAATTCTTCTGTTTCAATTTTTCAACTCTTATATTTTTATTCCTTCCACTGTCACACCTTGATTGTCTTTTTTTATTTTTTATCTATGCTGCATCGTGCCTGGTGCTAAATAAATGTTTTTTCTTTCTTTCTTTCTGTCTTTCAAGATTAGAGCTATACTAAGATTTTATTTGTTTCCAGTCTGAAGAATTTTTCTCAAAAACTGGTGTACGTGTATTGTCCATATGTTATGGTGCATCTGATGAAGGCCTTGTTCCCATCGTCAATGCTAAAGACAAGGCAGAAATCGAAAATGCAATGATGGCCATGGGGAGTTTACATAAGAAGTAAGTTATTACATTTTTCTTCTGTTAATGTTGAGTTTTAGGAATATTTTTTTTCTAAACTAGCAACACTCTTTAGAATTAACTGTAAAAATTCAAATTTGGAATTTAAAAAGTTAGGTTCAATATGCATTATTTGTCGGTTCTTATAAGTAGGTAAAGTTTGTCATTATAAAAACAATTAGATTCGGTGCTAATTAAAAATTTGCTAATTAAATTTTTAAACTTAAAGGGACTCCCTCGTTGACCTAGCGGGCGCAAGGGCGACTGCCGGGCAAGGAGTCTTGGGTTCGATTCCCGGGACGGGCAAAGTATTATTGGTATTTTATTAAAATTCTCAGTAACAGCACGGAGTCTGGAATTGTGCCCGGTATACATAACATAAATAGTGAAAAGTGGGTGTTACATTGTAAAATAGTACAATGTGCACCTCTGCCTACCCCTTCGGGGACAAAATGCGTGATGTTATGTTATGTAAATTTTTAAAGTTTTTTTTATATAAAGTAGTACATGGGTACAGCTCGGCAAAAACGAGTTTAACACGGTGACAGCTGGAACTACTATTGATTTGGACTGAATCACACTCTTCGGACCATATTCCATGAATAAACAATCATCCGAACATAGTACCTTCTCTTATTAAACTCGATAAAAATAAGAAATACCAAAACCGATTGAGTCGTAGCATACCAGCAGCTGTAGCCAAATGCCATTTAGCGGTTGCCTACATGTAGAATAGAAAACCAAATTATATGGAATCGACGTACATTTTGACTCTTGTCAGTGTCATCCCCATACATTTTGATTTCTACTCTCTCTGTAGACAAGCGCTAAAGTGACGTTTGGCTAAAGGCCAAAGTTGCCACAGGTACGTACAATACTAGCGACCTCAATTATTCCAGATTATTTAAAGCCAAGCTGTACCTCCTCGGTGACTCGTAGCACGACATTTTTTTTTTTTTAAATAAAACTTTGCCCCACACTAGGATTTTCTCCTGTGTCGTGGGTGCGTTTACAAACATACAAGTTCACATACACAATCACACCCAGACCCGCAACAACAATTTGTGGATCACACAAAGTGTTGTTCCGTGCGGGAATCGAACCCGCGACAGGTTGCACGGCAGCCGGTTGCACGGCAGCCGGTTGCCCAGCCACCGCGCCAACCGTGCAGTCGTTTTTGTTTTATTTTGTATTTTGTTTTATTTATTTTGTATTTTCAATGTGTTTACTAATAGTACAGTTAAATCGTACTGTAATTTCATTCTTTTAGAGAAATAGCAGGAGCGAAAGCCGTAATTGAAATATATAAAACTGGCAAGACTGGCAGCACTTGGCTTTCAAAGGAGATACAACCAGTTGAAGATATAACAGAGTTCATCAAAAACATTTATAGTGATACGACGGACATACAATGGTAATGTTGTTTCGTGCGAGTGATGTTATGTGATAAATTGTGATAGGTAAGTATTGTAACCTGTGTCCTGATTTAATAAAACTTGTAATTTTTTATAGCGATGTTTCATTTTCTTTCAATAAGAGCTAAAACTTCAACTCGACTCTTACAGAGAGAGTAGAAATCAAAATGTATTTTTTTTAAGAGGGGAAATTCATCGAATGTCTGCTCCCGCCTGGGTGAGGCGAGAGGGAGTGTCAGACTCTTACTGACTAAAAACCACCCCGTTCCTTCTCCAGCACGTCGAGCCGGACCCCGGTAATCCGTTAGGTTCTCCGCGAACTCAAAATGTATGGGGATGACACTGACAAGTGTCAAAATTTACGTCAATTCCATATAATTTGATTTCTACTCTACAAGTAGACAAGCGGCAAATGGTCTCTTCTTATGTTCTCGTAAGTTTAATAAAATCCAATTGAGGGTTTTTTATTACTTCTCGTAGCTGCGGACAACTTAAAGAGTTGCCGGGGCTCCGGCTCGAAGAGCAGAAGTAGGATTGGGGTGGTTTTTATTCAGTAAGAGTCTGACACTCCCCCTCGCCTCACCCAGGCGGGAGAAGCAATTGGATGATCGTCCCCCGCAAAAGAAAAAGACCTCAATTGGCTTGCGTTGCGTTTACGGTTCGTCAAATCGGCTGAAACGGTTTATGGCTGAACTCGGCTTGAACTACGTTGGGAGACTGAGTCGTAATACCACTAGTTAAGTGTGTTTTTTTGACAAGCGCTCGCATCTATCCAATTTAAAAAAAAATTAACCAAAATACCTATCTATTTTATCTGGCTGTCACACTTACGAACTCCTTGCGGGAAGGAGGAGGGGTCCTTACGTTCCTGTATGTTCCGTAAGAGCTAACTAAAGGTTTATTATTTGATAGAAAACGACTAACAGCGCTGTTTAATAAGAACCTTTAACCTTTAAATCACGGTCTTATACTCGCCTGCGAATGGTATAGATTAGGTAGGTAAGGCAAACGCTAATGTTTGAATGTGATGATGATCATGTAGGATACAATTTGTAAGATCGTTGGGGTACCCGACCTAATTGAATATGTACTTAAATTATTAAACGAGGAAATAAAGACTCACAAGACAATTACGCCTGATTAAAATGTTTGCGCATTTTATCACTTTTGCGCTATGCTCAGAAAATTTTCTTTCCTAAGTAGTTCATTCGGTTTTGTACTTACATGTATGTAATAAAATACTTTATTATATTATTTATTTTTATTTTCTCTCTGCCCATTCTGAGTTGAGTACCTACTTCTATTTGGAACAACATTTTTATTAGTTTTATCGGGATTGAAGATTTATCTATAAGAATAATCATGTAGAATCATGCCATCTGGCTTTTCAGTTTTCATTATCTCCGTCTGCCTCCACCGAAGATAGGCGTAATTACTTAATTGTTTAGTGACTTAGGTGGGTATTGTACCTCTACATACATACAATACATACACAACAATTAACAAAAGACATCTTTTAAACTGTCAAACACCAAGCGGTCACCGGTGACCGCAACCTATTGTTCTTTAATTGTGTCTATACGGTACTCGACGAGTTAAGTATTTATTTCCGTAACCTGTCATCAGCCATCGAACATTAATAATAATATAATTGAACAAGTGTTCACAGACATACACTGGAAAAGACAGTGTTTAAAAAACGACAACTGTTTACAATTCAATAGTTATTAATGTCATAAAATATTAATAAATTCGAATAGCATTATTTATCATGCTCGTAGCGATTAATAACGACTGCGGAGCCGCGGGAGGCCAAACAGGTTGCCGAGGATCCGGCTCGAAGAGCGGGAGTAGGAACGGGGTGGTTTTTAGTCAGTAAGAGTCTGACACTCCCTCTCGCCTAACCCAAGGCGGGAGAAGTCGTCGGATGATTTTTCCTCATCAAATAAAAGCGTTTAACCCGTCGAGCGTCCGCGTTCCTTATGGATCCAACGGGTGCACACGTGATATTTGGAGAAAGAAAGAAAGAGAGAGAAAACAAGGATCATTACATTACAATAGAAATAAAAAATACAGTCAAAATAAAAACAAAACGTTAAATAGATTTTATAAAAGAGAAAGCAGCATGGAGCATTTTTTCTTATAATCCACCGGGTGCTCATAAGGACGCTCGAGGGGTTAATATCGATGATGCCTCATCATCATCGCGTCAGCCTCAAAACGTCCATTGCTGAACATAGGCATTCAGAAACTTCAAAATCGGCTGATTGAAAGCAACCTGCATTCACCGGGTTCCTGCCACCCTTGTCAAGTCGTCTGTCCACCTCGTGGGCGGGTGGCCTACGTGGCGTTTGCAGCATGTAGCAATTTCAGAAAATTAAGGCCCTCAGTTTGATCTGTATGTATGATTGTTTGTCGGTGATTACCTCGCCATTAGCTGAACCGATTTTGATGCGTTTTTCAGAAAAGTGTTACATTTAGTCGAGCAGGTTCTAGTATATATAGATACTAGCGGACCCGACAGACGTTGTCCTGCATATCCACTTGAATGTATAATCAAAAATTCATTCAAATTATTTCAGCCGTTTAAGATAACTAACCTAGACTACGACTGCAGCGTCATCTGCCGGGCTGATTTGTGAATCTAAACCGTCCAGGGTGCCACTCAAACGCGTACAGAAAAATTCATTTAAATCTGTCAAGCCGTTTAGGAGGAGTTCAATGACATACACACGTACAGCAGAATTATATATTATAATAACGTAAATAACGTTAATAGTAACGAACTTTGTTATGAACTTCAAAAAAAGAAGACAGTTGGAAAAGTATTTTTATTAAACGTAGTATTGTTTCAGTTTGTAAAATACTCGAGTCGGTCGTGTTGCGAAATGATTAATTCTTCAATTTACTTACGACATTGAACCTATCAATGATCAATGATGTAGATATGTACTTATTTCATAAATTTTGATACTTATGATAATAATAAATGTATATCTTGATGAGATGTGTATGTGAGTTGTTAGTTATTATCGAGTGAGCCTCGCAGTGATCATGTACGACTTGAAGGACAAAGTAGTTGTTGTGACAGGAGCGTCTAATGGCATCGGAGCTAATTTTGTTAGAGAAATTCTCGAGGAAGGTGTCAAGGTAAGATTATTTTCTTTTTATTGTATTGTGAGCATGATTTAAAAAAGTAACCTATGGAGTTTCTTGCCCGTTCTTCTCCATAGGAATCTACACTTTGGAACGAGCAAATAGATTCACTAGAGGACTGACCTACAGACTGAAATTTTTTCTTATTTAAATATTTTGTTTTGACGTTCAAAAGTGCATTCCTGGTCTAATTGAAATAAATGATTTTGACATTGACTTTGACTTTAGTAGCAAAATTAAGGGTATTATTATCAACAATTCTGTTACTTTTTCAAATATTAATTAACGTTAGTCATGACCTAGTGGACGATATAGTACCTAGATGCTATATAGAGGTATATACATACCTACTTACCTTCATCGAATCATATTTAATTGTAGGGAAATTCATTTTGTCTAAAATATTGCTTGTTATTTTGACACAAAGGACGCACACTCCTTTTTTTTAATTACATGTCTTTGTATATAGGTCCAAAATTAAATTAATTCGTATGGTCGCTGCTATCTAAATGCTATATGGTACGATAGTACGACAATACGAACTAAGGTACGATAATACGAAACCAGTAAGGGTAAGAGTGCTTCGTACTTAGCCTTTTTCTAGTATTTCTCCTAGAAATCTGCGCGCGATTTTCTGCCAATGTTAGGTACTTTATAATTTCTTTTTAACCGACTTCAAAAAAAAGATGAAGTTTCTCAGCTTGATCTGTGTATGTAATGTATGTACATATTATGTTTGTGCGTGATTTACTTGTAATTGGCTGACGATTTTTTTGCGGTTTTCAGAAAAGATTTTGTTAGGTATACTAAATTGGGTGAAGGTTTTAGTACCTATATTAATTAATCGTCTTCAAAAAAGAGGGGTTGAAGTCGGTTTTTTAATCGTAGTTTATAAAAGAAATATGTTAATAGAATTCCTTTCGTTATTATATTTGAATAGATCCTCTTAATAAAATTTTATAATTTTATTTAATAACAATAAAAAGCCAATAGGTCTTATCTACTTTATAATAAATATTGTGTTTATATTTTTCTTTGTATTCGATTATGTAATATCTAATCACATTATTTGGTTGACAATACAAATGACAAAATGACGTCAATTTCTAATATTTTAATCAGATGATTAATATCTTGATTGCTATCAGTAAAATAATCATAAATTAAAACTACCTATTTGCGAATATTAATTTGTACATTAATATTCACCATTTAGTTCTTAGGTTTTTCACGTCAATTAAAATTAGTCTGGAGTTCTTAGATGAAGCGTCTTCACAATTAGATTTTTTTTCTGGATCGAGGCTTGTGCGTAGCCTAACCTGTAGGTTACAAGTATACATAATAAGTTAGACAATATTAAGAATATGTAAAAGAACATTGCCAATAGATTGACTTTGATGACAACCAAATCTCATAAAGACACGATAAAACACAAATACAATCAGATTCCACCGATAGAAGTAGATATAGACCACGTAAAGATTTATCTATGTAGACAGCAGTAGATAACAAATAAACAGAATCAAAAAGTCAAGTAAGTAGCTAAATATAATTCGTAATGATAACATTGTTACCTTTGTGTGGGAGAGCCATGCTTTGGCACGAATAGGCCAATTCGACCGGAGGACACCACGGCCTAATAGAAAACCGACGTGAAACAACGCTTGCGTTGTGTTTCATCGTGTGAGTGAGGTTACCGGAGGCCCAACTATCCTCTCTTCCCCGATCTCCCCAATCCTTGAAACCCCAACATTCCTCAAATTTCTATTCCTCAAATGGCCGGTAACGCACTTGTAACGCCTCTGGTGTTCCAGGTGTCCATGGGCGATACCTATTGCTTACTATCATGTGATCCGTCTGCTCGTTTACCGGCTTATGCAATAAAACAATCTAAATGCTTTGCTTGTTGCAAATATACACTTTCCCTGCATCATCGAAAACGATGATGATGGTGATGATAATGATAACATCATATTAGTTTTAAGTCACAAGATGTTCACTTGTGATCATAGGCTTCTCCTAATAAAACGACCTAATAAAAGTCTTAAGAAGCCTCTGGATGTAGATTGCTTCCATCAGTGATCGGAAAGTCATTGGGGCAAACCTACCTAGGTATGTCAAGTAATTCTCCTACAACGAAATTAATTGAAAACTCTACGGAGCGTAAGTAAAAGAAAGAAAGACAATCTTTCGATTGTGGAAACTTTTCCTGTATAGTACAGTACAATTAAAAGGGAATGCAAATATATGTATTCAATAGATACGAGTATTTTTTTTAAACTACGCTTGAGCAGAGATCTCCGCTTAACTACCTTTTTATAATCCAGTCTAAAAATGGCTGATGCTTTTTATTTTCCACAGCATGTAAGACTACTAGATATAGACAAGAAGACTGGCAATGCTCTACAAGATGAATTAAGACAAAAATATGGAAAGAATAAAGTAAAATTTGTCAAATGTGACGTCACAAACGATGAGCAGTTTTTCAAAGCTTTAGAAGATGCTAAAAAGGATAATGGTTACTTAGACCTTCTAGTCAATAACGCTGGAGTGGCTGATGAAGGTAATTTAGCGAAGATACGGACACTGATTGAAATTAATATTGTAAGTGTAAATCAACATCGCTAAATATGTTGCTAAGCAGAAAATTTGTGAAATTGAAACAAAAAAGAAAATGCTTTGGAGAACAGAATCCTACATTAGCAATTTTTAGATAGTGATAGCGATATTGTATCGTACCTATAGATTAATAGCATAGCATATATCTTTTGTGAATAAATCAAAGCAATTTGACTTTCAAACGCTTTCCTAAGGACAATAAAAATAAAATAAAAACCCACAGATAAAATCTTTATGGAACCCAAATTATGTAAAATAATAAGGAACTGCGTCGATTGATTCCATGACCATACCTTATGGTTCATTTTCAGACAGCATTAATAAACGGGACTCTCAAAGCTATTGAGCTGATGCGTAAAGATAAGGGAGGAAGAGGAGGTGCTATCATCAATGTGTCCTCAATCGGTGGACTGGTTCAGGTCTCGCCTATGTTTACCTACTCGACGTCAAAGCGCGCTGTCTTGCAGTTTACAACTTGTGTTGGAGTAAGTACATGACCTATAATACATATAATAAAATTGTAGAAGTGTTAATTCTGTACATTGAAAATATAAAATAAATAGTTGGGCCTGTTACTAGATAGACACCTGGGTAATTTTTATCCCAAAAAAGTACATACACGAAAAAGCAAACTGAAATTAGTTTGAACCGATATAGTTAGTTTGTGTGACCAACACATCACAACACAATATCTCCCCAATCCCTGAATCCCCAATGACCCTCAAACTCCTAATCCCCAAAAGGTCGGTAACGCACTTGTAACGCCTCGTGTGTTCTAGGTGTCCATGGGCGATACCGATTGCTTACCATCAGGTGATCCGTCTGCTCGTTTACCGGCTTATAATAATAAAGTTTATTTCTTCAGATAACTGAGATCCATCAAAATAATAGTAAAGAAAGAACACAATCATATATAACTATGCCATAAAAAAAAACATGCTTCTTTATACCCCTGAGAAGGCTGGTTGGCTGGCCGCTGGCAGAAGCTGGTTAGAAATAATTTTCTATGGTATTAACTGCATGCTCGGTTCCATATTTGTTTTGTTAGATAGCATTATGGTTCATTATCTAGATTAGTAAAAGGATCCCATCCATTACGGACCTTGTGAAATCTAGAAAAAAAAATCCGTGCGTTTAGGCGCTTTTGCCATACCTATTACTGGAAGCAAGTATAACAGCTCACACACACACTTAGATTTTAGTAAAATATCCGTGGTGCTTGGCGACTAAGCTTCACCCAGTTGTACAGTCTCTTTTCTTTGTGCCTTTAGGCTAAATTCATTCTGTTTCCTGCAGTAATTCACCGAGGAAAGTGAAATATCGTTTTTTTCTTCGCCTCTTATAATATTTTCTGATTCACTTCGTTGCGGGAACCAAGACAGTTATTCATGTCCCTGGGACGCACCCGACTTCGAGTGTTCCGGTGTTTTCATGGTTATATCTATTGAAGATCCTGGCTTACAGGAGTTGCAGCGGTTTTGGGAGGTTGCGGCGGGCTTGTCCCTTTAAAAAAAATAGGATCCCATGATGACAAAACACGAGTTTTTTTATTTGAGAGTAATAAGCTTCGATACGACCGATTAATAATTTGATTTCTTAATATTTACAGCGGTTCCCCTGTGAGAATACTGATGTTAGAGTCATGGCTGCGTGTATTGGTGTCACAGAAACAGCTATATTACAAAAACTCACATGCTTCACTGAGGAAATGGATGTGGAAGCGGAAAAAGTACTGTCAGGATATCCAATGCAAAGGTGAGCTGCGTCAATGTCTAATTAAAAACATTTTTCCACATAATTATTCAAATAAATGTCGTCTTTGTAATTCCAAACTGTTACCTTTGTATCAAAATTAATTTGGATACCTTTGGTAATAGGGTAGATGCCTAATTTTTATTTTTATTTTCGTCTGGTTATTATATTTTATGGTATGGTATTTTAAATCATTAGACACGTATTTTTTATTTTCTTACAGAAACGAATACTTTCGACGATATATTGATTTGAAATGTCGCGTGACGTTACTTCTATGTAGATAAATATACGTAGAAATGACGTTTTAGCCCCCACTCCTTCCTCCCAACTTTGATTCGTTTTATCAAAGTATTGTTTTATTATACGACAAAATAAAAAAATACGTGTCTAATATTTTTTCATTACCTAACTTACGGACTAATTAGATTTTTAATTTTCATACCCTGTCATCATCCCAATTTGCACAATAGTCAAAACTTGGCACAAATTCAGTCTTAAATCTTTCGACTTCCTGGAAGTACTAAAATTGAAAAGCCAAATGCTTTGTTCGACAAAAGAGTTTAACTTAAACCAAGGGTACACTAGGGGACAAAATGTCCTGTAACACGTGTCGCCAGCGATGTTGGGTGAAGTAACGCGCCGGTGGGCGACTTTGGTCGACATGTCTAGCAACATCGACATCACTGTGGACATAAATCTCGCGTTGTCGCTATATATGTCTGAGGCGAAATCGGCCGACTTCGGTTGACATGTCGCTGATACTTATCGTGGAGCATTAATTGTCCTCTAGTGTATTATTGACTGCCTCATTGGCCAAGTGATTGCAAGTGTGACTGCTGGAGAACTGTTCGATTCCCGGATCGGGCAAAGTATTACTGGGTTTTAAAAAACTCAGTAGTAGCACGGAGTCTATGACAATAGGTTCATATGGGACTCATAACATGAATAGTGAAAAGTGGGTGTTAATTGTTAAATTGTGCAGTGGCAATAAGTGCCGTAATGTGCATCTCTACCTACCTTTTCAGGGATAAAAGGTGTGATGTTTTGTTATGTATCCTTGGCTTAATAAATTATTATGTTTTCAGCTTACTCACGTAATAATTTGACGAGAAGCTTATGAATACCTATGAGCCTCTAGCATGGCTTGAAACTGGTCGAGTTCCTCGTCAAATTATTATGTGAGTAAGCCGAAAACATAATAATTTATTAAGTATGTCTCACGAAAGTTACAATACAAATATCCTTGGCTTTAAAACTTTGTAATGATAGGCACACTGACCATACCTAACTAACCCTAAAAGAGAGTTAAAAATCGTAACAAAATAAATTGTTTTTGATTCCAGTGCTAAATCAGTTGCCCGTGGTATGGTGGAAATGTACCAGAAGGGAGGACCAGCCTCCATTTGGCTGGTGCGAGCAGACCGACCAGCCCAGGAGATTACTGCAGAGCTGAACAAGGCTGACGAGGAAATGGAAGCGATCATTAGAAAAATCGATTAGTAGAAATTATTATTGAAACCAGTTTATGTTTAATACCCTTATTTCCTGTGTTCTCTATTTAATTGTGTGATATTTTAACGTTTGATTTAATAAAGATATTGTTAAATTGGCTCAATTAAACAGTATAGTTTTGCATTCTTGGACCAAGATGGCTTCTTATAAAGTAGTTTATCAAAAATTAGATTACATTTGCCGCGACGTAATTGTATTTCCCAAGCTGTAATGGGCGTGGTAGTGGACGTCTTCTGATTGATGACCTTAACGCTTCGCCTTTTTATAATTTGTATACATGAACATCATCAATAGGTCATGAAAGTTATTCATAAGAGGATTTGGTACAATCTTCATGCTTGCTGTCTAAGTTGATGAGTTTTGATTTATTAGAGTGCAGACGACTCCTGTGTCTGTCAAATGTATGTATGTACATTATTATAGTCCCTGAATAGGCTCCTACGATACCCACGGGAAGAACAGGGATCATAATAAGGTCAATTCTACACTGCCGTGTCACCACACGACTTACACTTCAGTTGTATTGTTTCTTATTCGCTCATTAAAATTCCAAGGCTAAAAACGGAGTTGAAACGATGATGTATTTTTTGTAAAACATGCAGTTTGTGGGAAAACTTTATTATATAAAGATTCAAGGCGATAGAGGTTTCAAGAAATAGATATTTAAATGAAATGTATAGAATTAGATGTTTTGGTCATCTCATGACTGAGAATCTAGAAGGAAATTCAATTTGTTTCTTTTATAAGGATTCTTGCCATTATTTTTATAAAATTTATTTTTAATTGACATCAGTATTTTGTACTGCTTCTCTGCTAGAATTTCTCGTATCACTTTACCTATATTACCGGGAATGTAGAGACTGCGTCGTTGGTTGAGAAAACGTAAGCCGCACTGACTGCACGACCATTGAGTTGGTTGGCTTGGCCTTTGGTCGGTCAGCTCTGTGGTCATTTCAGTCAAGAATTGACCACTCGTATGTCTGTCTTTTAATTTTTTCAAAAATCTTAGATTTAGCCCGCGTATCTAAAATTGTTCCATGCACATAACAATAAACTTATCATTACATGGGGCTAATGACAGAACAGCTGATGAAAAGTATACCTTCAGGGATAAAAAGCCGTGAAGGTATTTTTTTACTTCACTATTTCGTGACTTATGGGTTTGTTTTGGATATCTATTTTTAGAATTTACTAAATAAATTATAGTATTTATTAATGTAGAAGCGGTTCAAGGTTCTCATGCATAATTATGGCTCTGCCAATCCGTGCAAAATAGATGCAATGTTATGTTGTCTTATGTAAATTGCTATGAATGGAATTTTATTTAACTTCAATCTAGGTGAAGGTCAACTTGATTTAGTTTTAACCTCACGCATTATTAGAAGAAGCATAAGTATATTTATGTATTGCTTTCTAATTAAATTGAGCTTCATATAAAAAAAATTTTCTATTGTATTTAGTACCTACTTAAAAATTAACAGTAAATATACCAGGTCTAAGGCCCAGTTCTATTGGAGTCCAACTGCTACTTCTATTTTAACCAGTATCTTCATTAACCCTCCTTGTGAGTCCACTCCTGTAATCAGTAATGTAAGCACCCTCTGCACACACCGACAATTAAATAAAACAATACTATTAATTATACCAGCACCTGAGTAGGATAGCGTTAGACGATTGGGTCAGGGACCTGATGCAGCAAGCAGTACTTCTTGACACAGATCGAATTATCCGGAGATTCCTCTCTCCGGAGCTCTGACCACCGGTATCTTGGATTTCCCCCGTTACGAGTGGACTACTGCTTTTTATGTATTTTTTTGTAGTCAAAATATTAATCAAGTAAGAAAATAAATAAAAGGACAAATAATAAATAATGTAACGCGGCAATTATAGGTAAATAAATTGACTATCATAAGTAGTTGAGTACACAATTTATTATTTGAAATGACTTGAAAAAATAAATAATTCTAAAGTATCTAAATGATTTTGCCCTTCAACTATGTGCCGATATAATATTACATAAATAAAAATAATATGTTAGCTTCGAATAGCCTCGTAATTGTACCTTTGCCTCTGCTTTGAGTAGTGCTACCTTGAATTAAAAGATCGACGTGTAAAGAGAACTTCACACGGTATTCTATAAACCGGACGATTTTTTCTACCTCTATTAAAAATCGATCATACCGAAATAGTGAAAAGTGGGTGATACATTGTACAGTGGCATTAGGTGCCGTAATGTTCTGGAGCAGGTCTCTTCAGAGGACTCGGTGCCCCTTACGGGTGCTGAGAGTGACCACCGGGGTGGTTTTAGTGCGTAAGCTATTAAGAATCCCACACTCCTTAGTCTTTCTTCCAAAAAAGCTAGGCGCCTTTTGAAGGTTTGAAAAGGAGGCCCCGACATAAAAAAAAAATGCCCTAATATACTCCTTCGGGGATAAAAGGCATGATTAACATCATGCCTTTTATCCTTGCTATGCTTCCATCCTATGTTATGTTGTGTATAGGAACAAAGTAAAAAATTAAACTTGTACTTAATAAAAAAATATTCTAAACATTTAATTTTAATTAACCGTTGTTCGGGTTTTATGGAGAGAGGGAACCATACGCCATGTTTTATTTCTGATCATACCAGTGAATGGTATAGAAGTATAGACAATTGGAATACTTATCAAGTATCCTATAAGGCAACTACAAATAATGTATACTGTCTTTACAATTATTTACATTCCATTTAGCATAGGTTAGTAACTGCTATTCATAATATTATTACGTTTGAACATACCTACCTATGTACTGCACAGGTGAGCAGTACATTAAATAAAATAAATTTCATAAATTTCATTTCATTTCATAAATTTCGTTTCATTTCATAAATATCATTTCATTTCTTTAATTTCATTTCATTACATTGCATAAAAATAGACGCAGAACAATTCGCAACGATTTGTGAAGTTTTGTATGAAGTAGCTCTAATTTTTAAATGTGTTCTCAATGTATGATATCGTCTGTATTAGGTAACAACTACAACAACAATTTTGTTTTGATTCAGAATAACTCTTGACGCGGTGTGATACGGGTGACTTTTGTGCAAAATAATTAATTAATTAAATTAATTAGAATAATATTTAACTCAGTTTCAAAGGATTGTGTGTCTTAATTACATATGTAGTGCCTTAGTAAGTAGATTACGGATAAAATTATTACATATGTGTTTGTGTGGTTATACACTATAACCCCTACAACATTCCTCCCCTTTTTTAAAAAAAAATATATTTATTTATTTAAATGACATAAAACAAACCTTAGGTACAATCGTTACATTATCGTTATGCTCATGCAGAATTACGTTTACATTACAAAGGATGTGGTAACTTAACACGATTACATTTATTGCTAACAACGCATATCAACTTCCACTGACTACGATGAACAACTGCGATAGTGATGAGAACGTTTAAGTGTTACCTAGAAAGAGTTGAGAACAAATAGCACATTAAATTACAGATTGTTTACATTTACAACACATTTACAACTAAATTAAATGAATCTAAGAATACGTACATTGGAATCACACATATTGATTTGTTGGTTGTTGTTGGCGTGCGTTGTCAATCTGTTGTGAGGAAATGGCGGATATCATTTCTCTCCTAGTCCATTTTTTTACTCCTCTTAGACATTTTGTTATGAGCAACCATATGCCAATAATAATCACAATTGCAGTTACAATACCGAAAATTATTGAATAATGTTCCAGTTTTTGTTCTATAGAGCTGGTGCTCGCGCTATTTGCACCATTCTGAGCGATAATTATTTCTTCCTGCTTACTATACTGCTTACGATGCATTTCTTTGCTCTTTCCCGGAAGCGGTGGTGGTAGAAACACAGCCAGTCTGGACTCTCTGGAGTACGCCTGGGATGCCTTTGTGACGAGTTGCGGCTTCTATTTCGCGAAGTGGATCGCGAACGATTGCCTCTCCTCCACTGTTGATAACGTGACCTTGATCTTCTCATGTCAGCGACTTCGCGACTGAGTTTTGAAATCTCAGCCATGATTCGCTCGATATCGGTGGGTGTTGTGGGTTGCTGCTGCGTGACTTCTGCGACTTGCATAGATTTTGTTGTCTCCATGACCTTGTCTGCGATCTTGGACAAACTTTCAAGGTCTTTAACGTCTGTGACGACAAGTACGGCTCGTACTGATGATGGTAAGTGTCCTTGCCACAGTAAACGTAGAGTGTCATCTGGTATCTTGTCTCGTGCTAATTCTTTCATCCGCCGTAAAAGCTGCGATGGTTTTTGTTCGCCCAATTCCATTTCACTGAGTAACTTTTGGAATTGGCGTATCTCTGACTCTTCGTATACGATCAATAAACGCGTTTTGAGAGCGTCAAACTTCTTGGTCTCAGTGGTTTTAGTAGGATGTCACTTACTTGGTTTAATACATCCTTTCCGAGCTTCGTGACGACAAGGTTAAATTTGCCTCGTCGCTCAGTTTCTGTGGTCCTAATACTGCCTCGCATTGCACAAACCATAACCTCGGCTGGTCGCACCAAAATTCGGGTATGCGCGATGATACTGTGACTGTTGCTAATTCCAGTACTTCAGGTTGCGGTCTTGGTTGGGATGGAGTTGCCATCGTCGGGAGGTCACCACTTTAGGTTATCTATGTGTTATGTAAGGACTGATGATGAAATAAAGCACTTGTACTATTAAACTCATGTAGTGTATTCACCATAAGGATCGAGCAACGAGTGACCCACGTCCCGCTACTGCGCATACATAAATATCAGTTTACAGGTTACACTTACTACTAACGCTTACATATGTGTTTGTGTGGTTATACACTATAACCCCTACAACTTTAATGTGTTGTGGTAGGATATTTGTGTTCCATTTTATTTATATGTTCTTCAAGAGTACTGCACAGTTATCACTATCACTAAGATCATTAAATACAATTAGCACTTATGCAACTCAATAAACAAGTACTAATACGTTGAAACTTTCCATTTAACAATTGTTTTGTTAAAGCCGTACATATTTAAATGAGCATTGTTTTACGCTTATACAATATCTGATAAAACGTATGTTATTCACAGTATTCACTGGGGTGACTGCAGCATAGAATCACGTTATCGTGACATTCAGAGATCGTGTATCGTTAAATTGGAATATCGTTGAATCCAGAGAATGTTTGAAGTGAGAGATAAGGTGTTTTTCATCACCGGTGCTGCAGCAGGCATTGGTGCCGCGATTGTGAAGGCGTTTTTGGAAGAGGGAGCAAAAGTGAGTAAATCCTTACTAATATTATAAATCAGAAAGTGAGTTTGTTTGCTTGTTCCACTTTTGCGCCGTAACTACTAAACCGATTGCTTTGAATTGTTGCAGACGTGAAGTTAGAAGTCTGGAATAAATAATAGGGTACTTTTTATCCCGGTAAATTTTGATATTCTTGAGGGAAAACGAAATTATTGGTATAGATGGCGCTGTGTGTATTGGTATATGTCACATAGGCTACTTTTTATCCTTTTGTGACGCGAGCGAAGCCGCGGGTAAAACCTAGTTAACTATAAATTATTTTTACTGTGTTAAATAAATGAATGTAGAAAAATCTACTATTTAGAACGAGCTTCACTTACGGACAGATTGAAAGACTATTACTAAGTACAAAATTATGATTTAATTGAAATAAATACTTTTGAGTTTGAGTTTGAAGAAAGAAAGGAAGATAAAACATCTATTTCACTCGTTAATAACAAGTGACATGTACAGAATATGAACGTTTAAACATAGATGATGAGTCCTTGGGTACATGTTCATGTCCCAAATCTGAGACGAAATGGGACCAGTTTAGTATGTGCAAGACAAGGCCTTGCGATGATATTCTACTGGCCCCTTAAGTGAGTCTGACCCTTAATGAGTGTAGTGTCTATACCGATCCTTTTCTTAAATATAATAATGTATTTTCTTCGTAATCTAGTTTCTTCTGGGGGAACATGGCTTATATAAATAAATATAGAGTTTATTATGTCCTTACGAAAACCCAAATTAGAAGCATGAGTTATTTAAATAAATATGGAATTCATTATGTCCATATTTAATTTGAGATTTGTCTCGTAGAATTGAATATACTAAAACCTGCTCCTAATTGTAATTAACTTAGGTAATTAAAGTAGAAACGGGGTGGTTTTTAGTCAGTAAGAGTCAGTAAGTGACACTTCCTCCCGTCTCACCCAGGCGGGAGAAGCCATTAGATGATTTTCCCCCCCTTAAAAAAAGAGTACCTAACACTTTTTTGAGAACCAAATTAAAATTGATTTATCCAGTTGTGAGATAATCGCGGACAGACACATTCATATCTACAGGTCAGATTGCGAACCTCCTTCTTTTTTCCAGCATATTGCAGCACTAGACGTCGATATAAATAATGGCAAAGCTTTGGAGGAAGAACTGGCAGAAAAGTATGGGAACAACAAAATAAAGTTCTATAAATGTGACGTCACATCAAGTGACTTAGATGCAGTCTATGATAAAGTACTCAATGACTTTGAATATATTGATGTCGTCATTAACTGTGCTGGCATTATGAATGACAGACCTAATGCGTATTTAAAAGAGATTGATGTTAATGTGGTAAGTATTTCGTACACAATTTTATTTTAATTGAAATAGTGAATAAGTGTCCCCGTTTGATTTGAAATGAATCGAGCTTTTCTCGTATGGTTGACGATAGAAAACCGTATATTTTACCTCTATAGTTTATTATATCTGATAATAATAATTAGTTTTCTATACAAATATTCGAATCCATTTATGAGTAATGGAAAAACAGGGTACATCATTTTTCCATACTGAGAAAAATTCTGACTGGATTAGGTTGCCTGGTCAGGTCATTCACCTAGCCTGGTCAGCTACTGCCAACATTTGTGAATGTCATAGGTATGTGACAAATCAAAATTCTGGGCATTAGTACAACAGAACGAGGATAAATTTATTTATTAAGGTACACATATTAGACGAAATTCATACGAATTATAGAAACCTCTCCGTTAGCTTACCGTTTTCCTGTTTTATTTATTTATTTAAATAAATAAATCAGTTTCCTGTTTGTGTTTTGATTTCATTATAATTGTAGGTACGCTAACATATTGCTTTTATGATCTTTTTAGCTTAGAAGTTTTTGATCAACGCCCTATAAATTGGATATAGTATAACTAAAAAATATAACTTCACATCTTTTATTCTTGAAGGGCTAGGCAGAGGTGCACATTACGGCATTTAATGCCACTGTACAATGTAACACATATTTTTCATTACCTATAAACTGGAATACTCTTTTTTTCAGACTGCCTTAATAAAAAGTTCTTTCAAAGCATTCGACTTAATGCGTGAAGACCAGGGTGGTAAAGGTGGGACGATCATAAATATTTCTTCGATCGTGGGATTGTTTCAAGCACACCTTCTCCCGGTGTATACTGCTACAAAGAGTGCAGTGTTGCAGTTCAGCAATTGTCTTGGAGTAAGTGTTAAGTTTTTGTTTGTGTCTTCTTTTCTTCAATTCGCCACTATCAGACGCCATCCTATCACAGATTCTTACGGATGGGGCCCAACAGGGCTGGAACCCCACGGGTTACTGGGGCTCCGGCTCGAAGTGCATAAGTAGGAACTAGGTGGTTTTTAGTCAGTAAGAGTTTGACACGACCCCGCCTCACCCAGGCGGGAGAAGTAATTCGATGACTTTCCCCCCTTAAAATAAAATTAATAAATCACAGATTCTTCTCTTAAAATATCATTCACAATAACAACAACAACAGCGTATAAGTGTCCACTGCTGACCAAAGATCTTTTCTTACACTGAGAATGAATCACCACGATTGCAACGCTAGTTGGGGATTTACGACTTATTATTAGGAATTAGTCCAGGTTCCCTTGCTTTCACTGGTGTCACACTCTAACAAACTCGGAAAAAAAACTCACGTTAGTATTTGCCAGGTTCCACCACTATGTTCCATGTTCATTCCAACATGACTGCACGGTTGGCGTGGTGGTTGGGCAACTGACTGCTGCGCAACGTGTGGCAGGTTCGATTCCCGCACGGAACAACTCTTTGTGTAATCCACAGATTGTTGTTCCGGGTCTGGGTGTGATATGTATGTGAACTTGTAGGTTTGTAAACGCACCCACGACGCAGGAGAAAATCCTAGTGTGGGGCAACGTTTTTTAAAAAATAAAAAGAAATAATATGCTAAGGTATTTCCTACTTTAAGTTTACCTAATTACGTTTTCAATTTCAGAAAGAGCCACATTGCACTCGATCTGGAGTCCGAGTACTCACAATATGTTTTGGATGCACTGATACAAGTTTATTCAGCGCCTCAAAAATGGGGGGTTTCGATAAAGAAACTGATGAACTACTCTTCAAGAGCCTAGGAGTTTTACCAATGCAAACGTAAGTACCTATTCTGGATAATATGGAATCTTTGTCAAAACCTGTTGAGGATAAATAATTAAATATTTACTTAATTAGAAGTATTCTATAATAATTATTTTAATGGTCAATAAATTCCTGAGCCCAGATTTTGTCATGGCTTTTTAACCAAATAAACTAAATTAATGAAAAATGTCAGCTGCCTCGTTGGCCGAGTGGTAAGTGCGACTGCCATGCAAGGGTTTTCGGGATCGATTCCCGAGTCGGGCAAACTGTCACTTAGTAGAAGTACGGATTCTGGAATAGTGCCCGGTATATGGTAATAGGTTCACCCCCTATTACATGGGATTCATAATATATATAAATAGTGAAAATGGGTGTTACATTGTACAGTGGCATTATGTGCCGTAATGTCACCTCTGCGTTCCCCTGCGGGGATAAAAGGCGTGATTAACATCATGCCATACCAAACATAACATACCTAACTATTATGTTATGTTTAAATGTTGTTCAAACATAACATAACAGAACTATTTGTTTGAAAAACATACTCCAATCTGATGACCGATGTCGCGGAGAACCTAACGGGTTACCGGGGCTCCGGCTCGACGTGCAGGAGAAGACACAGAGTGGTTTTTAGTCAGTAAGAGTCTGACACTCCCTCCTGCCTCACCCAGGCGGGAAAAGTCAATCAATGATTTTCCCCCCGAGTTCAAGTTTTGTAAGAAAATAACATTAATAATGACACTAAACTTCTTAGAAATAATTACAAAACTGGTTTATTTACATCCGTGATGTTTTTGTTTTGTCTGTTATTATAATTTTTTGGCGAGATTTAACAAAAAAACCGGATGGACAAAAACATAACAATTTAACAACGTTATATTCCTCTCAGTTTGTTGTTTCGTCTTTATTTAACTTAAAAACATATTTTTATTGTATTGTAAGCCATTGCTACACTTACGAATTATCATTACAAACAAAAAATATATTTATTTCCATTTTGTTCACATATTTTTACTTAATATACGCTTATTATTTAACTATTCTAGGTAGGTTACAATACAATGTCTGTAAATAATTAAATCTGTTCCTCAGGTTTTTTTTAAATAACAATATTTTTTCTTTCTCCACGGACTTGTGTCCGTGCCCTTGTCATATTACAGTTACATTGTTTTCCTGATCAAATAATTGTTATAAAGATCTTACATGCTACGCTAACCACTACTTGATGTTGTTACCTAATTATGTATTATAATCTTATTATCTTACACTAACCCTACTGTACCAGCCCACCAGCATGATGAGCGAGGTTCTACAGGCTTTACGGTATCTGTACCCGGTAGCTAACTCAGCACTAGTGTAAATAAAGTGTAATTTATGCTACTTATATATTCGACTTCCATCTTCATCATCGTCATCTTTTATCCACCAACTGCTGGACAAAGGTCTCTTCATAATAGCACACCAATAGTACTGGAACTTACTTACATTTTCTCAATTCTTTCAGGATACAATCAGCAGTGGACGGGCTGGTCCATGCTTACAAGCATGGAGCAAGCGCCAGTACCTGGCTGATCACTTCAGACAGGCCTGCTGAAGATATCACCGACAACGTTTCCAAAGGATACGAGATTATGAGCCAAGGAGTCTTTAGCTAAAACCCTGATAACAGTTTAAATGATATACATAAATAATAAATAAAATGTTTATTTGGTGTAAAAAGCCAGATTACAAAATAAATCTTACTACCTAAACAAAGTCTAAAATTTATATGTAAAATCTGAACCAAATGATAATCAGTTTATTATAGAGATGTAAGAATAATTATTGTTATTTAAGCCAATAATATACTAGGAGACAAATGGCTTGCGACACGTGTCGCTAGTGACATTGGATGGAGTAAAGCGACGTTGCCAGACTTTGGTCGACATGTCTGGCAACATCAGCGTCGCTGTGGACGCGTAAGTCGTGCGTTGTCGCCGTATAAGTCAGGCGACATCGGCCGATTCCGCTCGACATGTCGCATGTTGCACCCGCGCGAAGCCGGGACAGGTCGCTAGTAAATATTAAAATGAGATGATGTATATATTTATTTATCATTTCATGAACCCACACCATACAGACAATATTACAAGACACAACACATTATAGGTAAGCATGAGGTACATAGGTACTGCATATCCCTTAAGGGATTTCTTCCTGCAGACCTGCGACAGGAAAAGGAATATAAACATAAGACATAAGACACAGTGTAAATACATGCAACGAATACAAAACAAAATAAAATTAATGAAAGAACTTAAAACTAGAATGACCGTAGTATAAGAATAAAATATTAACTTAATATATTCAAGTCCAATAAATATTAACCGATCATTAAATTATTATGTTTTCGGCTTACTCACGTAGTAATTTGACGCGTCGCGGGTCGCAAAATGCTGCTTATGAATATGAGCCTCTATCATGGCATGAAACTAGTCGAGTTCCTCGTCAAATTACTACGTGAGTAAGCCGAAAACATAATAATTTAGTATGTCTCTTGAAAGTTACAATACAGATCATTAAATGTTTTCATTTTTAATTAATGATTATGTATCGTAAGTAATGATTAGTAATGTTAGTTTGATTATTCAAAAAGATCTTATACTTACTAGAATTGAGGTACCATCATTGGGATACGTCGACTAGTTTCGTCTCCAATCGGAGTTTAGTCATTAAGTAAGCCCATTGCGACCTCGTCGAGTCGCGTTGTTTCTTGATAGGTAAGTTGTTTCTAGATATGCAAAAAATGTGATAATTGACCATCAAATTGTCTTTGAAGTCCACAAACTTGGTCAAGGTTTACTGGTGTACGAGCGAATTATTAGTCGCTCATGTTTATATAGTTTGTATGAATATTATAATCGTATGCAAATAAAACATAAATAAAACAAAGTCAAGTTGGAACAACAATACTTACATAACATTTATTAATAAACATATCGTGTTGGCTTTATGGACTTACTTCCTTCTTATTGACTGCCTCGTTGGCCGAGTGGTCACAAATGCGACTGCCGTGCAAGGAGTCTCGGGTTCGATTCCCGGGTCGAGCAAAGTACTATCGGGTTTTTTTAATTCTCAGTAGTAGCACGGAGTCTGGAATTATGCTCGGTAAATGGCAATAAGCTCACCCCCTATTACATGGGACTCATAACATAAATAGTGAAAAGTGGGTGTTACATTGTGCAGTGGCATTAAGTGCCGTAATGTGCACTCTACCTACCCTTTCGGGGATAAAAGTTGTGATATTATGTTATGTTCCTTCTTATTATGTGGATAATTTTATTTTAGAGGTGTACCTACGTTTCATTTACTCACAAAAGTACTACCAATAATGTCCACAAATCTTGATCTTCTAAGGTTGGCACGTCATTGAGGAAAGACAAGCTTTACGGTGTTTTGTTTTTATATAAGTATCTTGATTCATAAATTCATCAAAAATCATATCCGTCGGTTTGAATAACAGGAACTTAAAATATATGTGAAATAGAAGTAAATAAATGGTTACCGTGAATAGGTATTCAAGGTTACCAATACTTATGTTAGCCTACTTTGCTAATGTTTGGTGTGATCGAAAACAAATATCTATGGTGCTTGTGTCATACCTACAATAAGAATCAATAGGGAAGGAAGTTATTTAATGTGTTTATTAAAACAATTCAAATTAAATTAGATTCATAAGAAAATAAATGTCATTAATTCAGTCTATTAAATTAAATTTAAAAATAGTAACCATTATTTTTTTTTATGATGCCTTAAGATACCATTTTTATTATTATAATTTTAGTTATTTATATTTTAAGTTCTATATATTTAGGTATTTCATTTAAATTTGTATGTAATTAATTTTAATTGTTTGACTTAAATTTATTCACTTTATATATCACGAAATAAAAATGTTAAACCAGACAACATTACCTACTTAGTAATGGTTATTTCGCATTGACAACTTGCTATAAGTGGTAGGTACCTATACCACTCTTAACCAAGACAGAATAATAAAGTAATAATACTTGTACTTTCCTTGTCAACCTAGGTGCAAGGTGCAATCTTGCCAATACAGAGGGACAATTATTATAATCTATAACATTTCATTTCATAAATAGAATGATACAGATTAGGAATCTATATCATTTCATTTCGATTAACAATAACACATCTTAATATGTTTTATTATACCCGAACGGATAAACGTGCAGATTCATAAAGCTGTAATGTTTGGATCGTACAAAAATAAAACCCAATACTCATGCAGTAAATACTTTTATTTTTAAAAACCTCTTATTATCATCATAACTCTTCGTAATCATTGTTTTGAACGTGAAATTATGTAACTCTGCTTATTACAGCTATTATCCATCATTATTGTCTTCCAGGATAACACCTGAATCTGTTTAATTATTATCCGTATTCAATTATCGTATCTGATATGGCGTAACGTATTGGAGGAAAAGAAAACCGGAGTTCTCATTTACATTATGGAAGACGATACAAACGTTCTACTCCATTTTGTCTAATAAATCCTTAAAATTACAATTATCTAAATATAAATTATGAAACGTCATCATTATCATAAAAACATATCATAAAAACAATTAATGACAGCGATATTTACCTAATTTCTAACGACTTGGCGCGCCAACTGCCGCCATCTTATTAAACGTCATAAAAAGGCGCGAAATTCCATAGATAATAATTATTGAGCTGCCATCTTTAATTACTACAGTATTATTAAATATTTGCAATAAAATCAATTTAGAATAATTTTGTGTATAAATATCAGTGTTTTATTTATCTCAAATAAACAAATAATAGGTATAGGTAGATTCTCTCTGATAAATAAACATTTTTGTTATTATTCTGTTCAAATTATTAAATTATCTAGATTTTTCACTAATAGTTAACGCGATATAATAAACTTTAGTAATTTCCTTGGGAAACAAACATATTATATCACTTCAATACATTTCTAAGATATGAATAGTTTTTTTTTTAGATTTTATTTACATCGCTTTATATTCAATTAGGATATATAGATACCATTATTTCTGATGTCTCTACAATATTAAAATTCTTCGAATGTTTTTTTTAATAGGAATATTATTTAATATAATTTCTCCGTTATTTCATAAAGCTTCTGATAAAGATTTGTTTATTGTTAGTTTTTAATGTCATCTGTTGGGCGGCAAACGCAACAAGAATGCCAATAATGGTCTAAAATAATAGAAAAAATTAAAGAAATATCCATTAATCTATAACATTTTGCTAAATTTCATTAATTGAACATGAATATTCTTATAAAAATGGCAGTTTTATATCACGTATACGAATTTAGAGTAACGTTTAGAATACAGGTCACCGTTTATTCGATTCCTTCAATTAATAAATTATTAGAAATTATTGCCGCGAATTTATTTAACACGATCTTTACTACGAAAATGATACACAAACATTATTATTATTATATTTTACTATTAATTTAATATTTCTACTTAACTACTTTTATACACATATTTAAACAACGTTGGTTTAAAATAGAGCTGTATATAAAACATTGCAACGTGCCTACACAAAAAAAGGAAATAAAATTATCATAACATAATTTGCAACATTACGATTGTCCAAATAAATCAATTTCTGTATCGATTAACTTATAAACAGCTCTATTTTATTTATTTTTCTAACACCAAGCGTTGTAATCAATTTATTGTTCGTGTATCATTTTTGTATAAGACTCCAATATACCTAAATAACGATTTAACAAACCTTTAGAGACGCTACAAATATTTACAAAATGCCAATCGATAAATGAAATCAAAATTGTGCTTCGTTCGATCGGTCATCTTACAATTGCTTGTGCGTTATTCTGCATATTAAAACCACTATATCTTGACACTTAAGACTGCGCCCAGTTTATCATACACTATAGAATCATTAGTTCTCGATTACACCGTGTGTCAAGATAAACTGGTTTTTAAATATAATTCACAACAATTTATCTTATTTTTTTTTCATTGAACACATAAGTGGTAGCCTTGCATTCTTGATACTTTCTGTGGTCGGAAACAATCGTCGTACATACTTAGGTCACGCAATGAGCATAAACATTAATGTCGAGGGAAGAAAATGAATTAATATTTCCGTTGAAACTATTTTAATTACTGAGGGATATTGAATAGAAAACCGTTAAAGTAATTGATAATAGAATGGTAGGTATAAAAAAATATTTCATGAATTCAAAAATATTGAGGTCAATAGGGTTGATGACTAATTTTTATTTTAATGCCCGTCTGGTAGATTATTTAAAAACATTACATACGTATTTTTTATTTTCTTACACAAACGAATATATTGATTTGAAATGTCGCGTGACGTCACTTCTATGTACATTTTATACGTAGAAATGACGTTTTAGACCCCACTCCTATACTTTGATTCGTTTTATCTAAGTATCATTTTATTATACGACAAAATAAAAAAATACGTGTCTAATATTTTTTCATTACCTAACTGACGGGTTTTAGATTTAGATTTTTAATTTTCATACGCTGTCATCATCCCTATTGCATCAATACGACCAAAGTACAGGTTGAGGATACTACCATAACACAACTTGCAGGTATTATCTTAAATTCAATAGTAGCTAAATATCTAGTCTATTCAACTTTCCGATTCATCATCTGTAAGTCTGTTACTATCTCATAAACCAACTTATTTAAATCAACGACCCAACTCCAAGTTTGGCCAAGTCTTGGCCACCGATCGACAGCACTTGGTCCAGAATTTATATTCGCACTAACATTATCTACTTTATTAATAATCACATTTATTTACATTATTCTTCTCATAGACATCGGTCGCATTATTTTCGTACAACTTTCTATGAGTTACAATTTTGTTTTCACAAAATTTCAATTCAAATTCATTATGCTATACCCTCAATCAACCAACAATTGACCCACTACTTAGAGGAATCGGTCAAATATATTTTACTACGTGGCTACCTTTAGAAGTGGTTGTCCACCATTTTGAAAATTTTATCATAATAATTAAGTATTGTTTGGACTCTGCGCGGGAAAGCGGTCACACAGTGGTGACACGATCTATTTCCACGTATCGCACAGAGTCCTCGCTTGGTCAGCAAATCACTTCTTTTTCGTCGAAGATGGCCGTGTCTGACGACAGGCTCTTCAGCCGCTGCTGCAGCGCGGACCGACGCCGCCGGCAGGAACGGGCTGCGGTTATCTGAAATAGCAAATAAGATTTTTCGTCAATCGTGACCATCATAAATGATGTTAAACTCATCAACAATGTTCATGTATGTACATTCAAAGTAAAAGGCAAAATCATTTATTTCAATTAGACAGGGATGGCACTTTTGAACGTCAACAGTTCATTCACTGAGACAGGTAAAATAATACCCATAACACGAAGTCTACTAACATCTAGTCATCAAATATCAAGAACTTCAATAATTAAATCAATAGCTTAGAAGTGCCCACTGCTGACCAAAGGCCTCTTCTCATACATAGAAGGTTTGAGCATTAATCACAACGCTTGCTCAAGGCGGGTTGGCAATTTCAAACTTATAATTAGAAATTATAAGTTCAGGTGTCCTCACGATGTTTTTCCTTCACTGTTTGTCAGTGGTGTCTAAATAATCTTAGAAAGGGCATATAAGTCGGGAAAAGTCACATTGGTGCTTGCCGTTGATAGGTTTCGAAGCGGCAACCTCATGCATGAGAAGCGGGCGTTTTTTTTTAAGGGGGGAAAATCATCATATCACTGCTCCCGCCTGGGTGAGGCGGAAGGGAGTGTCAGACTCTTACTGACTAAAAACCACCCCGTTCCTTCTCCTGCACATCGAGCCGGAGCCCCGGTTACCCGTTAGGTTCTCCGCGACCGTTAGGTTCTCAGCGACGAGAAGCGAGCGTAGTAACCTCCGGGCCGGAATAATTAAATACCCCATCGTAATAATGTAGATTTCACTCACCACAGCAAAAGCAGCAAGTAGTGTGAGCGCTATAAACATGAGTGCGTAGTGCGCGGGCGCCCGCAGCAGCGCGGAGCAGTGCGCGAGGCGCTCGTCGTCCCCGCGCGGGCAGTGCGCCGTGCCGTCGCACCACAGCGCGCCCGCGATGCACGCGTCCAGCGACGCGCACCGGTACTCGCACTCGCCGGACAGCGCGAACACGCCGCCGTGGGAACTTGCGTGTCTGTACAATTAATTTTAAACTAGATAAAAAGGTAGAAAAAAGTGACTGCCTCGTTGACCGAGTGGTCACAAGTGCGACTGCCGGGCAAGGGGTCTCGGGTTCAATTCCCGGGTCGGGCAAAGTATCACAGGGTTTTTAAAAAAAATCTCAGTAGTAGCACGGAGTCTAGAAATGTGCCCGGTATATGGCAATGGGCTCACCCCCTATCACATGGGTCTCATAACATAAATAGTGAAAAGTGGGTGTTACATTGTACAGTGACATAATGTGCACCTCTGCCTACCCCTTCAGGAATAAAAGGCGTGATATTATGTTATGTATAAAAAAGGTAGCTACATTGTAGGTAAAAATCCCTATTTATTAAATTAAATACATAACAAGTTAAATCGTTGAACAATTATTGGGAAGTCCTCCTAAATGGAGTCGGCGACGCAAATATTTTCCTTAATGCTTTTGTCACGTTTTCAATATGTATACTTTCATAAACAGACGTCATAAAAATCAGTAAAACTTTCTTTTCTTTTTTTAAAAAAAAAACTTTGCCCCACACTAGGATTTTCTCCTGTGTTGTGGGTGCGTTTACAAACATACAAGTGCACATACACATGACACCCAGACCCGGAACAACAATCTGTGGATCACACAAAGAATTGTTCGGTGCGGGAATCGAACCCGCGACACGTTGCGCGGCAGCCAGTTGCCCAGCCACCGCGCCAACCGTGCAGTCATAACTTCATTCAGTAAGAACTTCATTCAATTAATGTAACCGAAGCCTAAACATACCTTCTAGAAAGTTCCAACCACGTAACATAATAGGAAGCAGGTTCTACAGCAATGAGTTCTACACTCAATGATCTTGGCCAGTCCAGGTCGAAATGATCGGAGGCAGAGGGAGAAGCAAACACGTGTCGGGCAAGAGGATCCACTTCTCTGGACCAACCATCAGAGAAAACTTCCACCATATCTTCCATCTGAAAAGTAGTAAATGAAATTATTAAAATTACTTCATGTACAGTTTCATTTTGTCGTGGTTCCAGTATCATTAAGACTTTTTTACACCCCCTTCTCATTATTTATGTTATGAGTCCCTTGTAATAGGGGGTGAACCTATTGCCATATACCGGGCACATTTCCAGACTCCGTGCTACTACTGAGATTTTTAAAAACCCAGTAATACTTTGCCCGGCCCGGGAATCGAACCCGAGACCCCTTGCCCGGTAGTCGCACTTGCGACCACTCGGCCAACGAGGCAGGCAGTTTTAGTTAATATTGTGGAGTATTTATGTGTGTATCTGAATAGGGTACGATAATAGGCTTGCTGGTTTTTGAACGGAACACCTGCGTGATTTTTTTTTAAACGTTGCCTCACACTATCATTTTCTCCTATGTCGTGAGTGCATTTACAAACATACAAGTTCTCATACACATGACACCCAGACCCGGAACAACAATCTGTGGATCACACAAAGAATTGTTCCGTGCGGGAATCGAACCCGCGACACTTTGCGCGGCAATCAAACTATGGTACCAAATTATGGTTTAATTGAAATAAATGCTTTGACTTTGACTTTGAATCAGTTGTCCAACTACCGCGCCAACCGTGCAGTCGAATTGGGAAGTGTGTATTAAAATTTAATTTTGCCTACCACGTCTCAAAATATCAGTTGGAAGTTTTACAGAGCGAATTCCTACTATGAAGTATGACCCTTTTACATGGACTCTAATATTAAATATGAGTTGTAAACTTTATAATCAAAGTTTACCTGTTCTTCAGGTGGTTCAGGACAAATAAAAGTAGGTGCAAGACCTCCAGTATAAACTGCTATTCGGTTAGGAGTTCTGCAAAGATGTCTCATATCTGGAGCCACAGTGATATTGTTTAGAAGAGTGAAGTTATCTAATTCTGGTTCCCTGATGATGCTTCCTCGGATTTGAAGGTAGAGGTACCGGCCTGGGGATGGATCAATCAGCCATGGACGACGTTCACAGCGTTCCTGGAACCGGAAAATTTTTGTTAAATTTATTTCTACTAGCGATAAATATTTCAAGTCATTTCATATTTTTTCACCTCTAAAAAGTAGGTATATATTAAGCTCTGCTAACTACCCACACTTTAGGCATGATAAAGAGCAATCTGCATGAGACATAATAAACGAAAGAGGAATTGATTTTCATAATCGTAATTACATAAAGTTTCCTTATTTGCTTGTAAAATATTTTAAACTGTATAGAACATTTCGCTGATATTAAAATAAAGTAATTTTAAAATTCTTACCGATTCCGACATCGGATTTGAAGAAGCAAGTCTCATTTCTCCACTAGCACCATAAACTCGATGAGAGGTTTCACATCCAGCTTCCAATCGTACAAATTCTACAGAAGCTTCGAATCCAAACGATCTAAAGTCGTCAGAAGCTGTCATGTTGACGACGTCGAATCTGAGCTCAGCGACCGTGGATAGAGATGTGAATTCGTAATCGCCAACGTCACTGGAAAATAGAACAGTTTTTAGAAAATTCTATCTTCTTTTGCTGAATATTAAGTGAGACGGCTGAACAGTTTCAACGTCAGATAAATTTTAACTGAGGAATATAACTTTTAATATTTGACTATTCTTTCATACTGAAAACTGTCAATTTTACTCTACAGTTAAGGATAAACTGATGATTGAAAAATCGGCCCCAATTGTTGTATCCTAAACGGAGCCGTGGAGAACCTAACGGGTTACCGGGGCTCCGGCTCGAAGTGCATGATTAGGAACGGGGTGGTTTTTAGTCAGTAAGAGTCTGACACGGGTGAGGCGGGAGGGATCCCGCCTCACCCAGGCGGGAGAAGTCATTCGATGATTTTCCTACCTTAAAAAAAAATTTGTATCCTTGGGTCGAGCATTAGTTTATTGGCTTTTCCTTCAATTAGAAAATAAATACCCGAAGGAATTTATTTTCAAAAATCAAAATTTATTTGTTTCTTTTAAACGAACAGTGGCTAAATCAAGCGAGTAAAGTATAAGTTTAAGTTCGTATTTAGAATTAAAATCAAGTCTATCAACTCAATACAATTTTTAATTTCCAAAAAACTAAACCTAAACGAATGAATATACCCATGATTATGTTACATTACTAATTAGACAAAAACTACTTAATTGAAGTTACCTGCACAAACAGTCTCTAGGTATTCTTGAACCAGCGTCTCTCCAGGGTTTGTCGAAGATTCTGACGGCTGCAGTAATGTCCCCAGCGCAGCGGTACCATGGTGAATGAGCTGAATGAACAGACCGGCACAGTCGCCCTCCACTCCGTATCCCCCATACTCGAACTCTTATTACTTCACCAGGATTTGCTTCGAAGCGATAAGTGCAACTGAAATTGTAACATATAGGAAATTAATTATTGCTGTCTAATAATTGGTAAAAAAGATACTTTGAAGTTTAAACATATCTGACACGAGCGTTTTCAATTTAACCTGACCAGTACAATAGTGCCTAGTATTCAGTGGTAATTGTACCTACATAGGTATAGTGGTACCACGACCTCACAGAAAACCGATGTGAAACAACGCTTGCGCTATGTTTCGTCGTGTTCGTGAGGTTACAGGAGACCCAATTACCCTATTGGTACTCCCTTCCCCAATTGGTGAATCCCCAACAATCCTCAAATTCTTAATAAAAAAACAGGTGTCCACAGCGACGCCAATTGCTTACCATCATGTGATCCATTTGCTCGTTTACCGGCTTATCCCATACAAAAAAATACTACCACATAATTGGTGAAACGTTGATATCACATTGTAAACTTGTGTAAACTTCTGTCTACTCCTTCATAGATAAGAAGGCGTAACGTGATGTTGTGACTTGACTGATAAAGTTACTTTTCTAAACAACTTTTTGCTTAAGAATATTATTGTAATTGTAACCGAATATTGAAGTCATTAACTGAATTCATACCTAATATTTCGATTTCCTCCTCTCCCATACAGAAACACGTCTCGTGGAGATGAAAACGTTATCGGTGGATCAGGAGGTGCTTCTGGGAATGAACGTGAAGCAAATCGTCTGGAACAAGTGCCCCTACCCCAGGGCTCTCCATCTTGATGTAAATCCACAAACTCATATAGCGCTTTGAAGTAAACTGGTCTGAAATAACGGAGGATAAATATTTAGCACAAATACTTTAGAGAGGAAATACAAGGATACTGGAATAGTAAATAGTAGAGAACAGCAATAAACTTTCGAACCCCAATCACAATTTCACAAAATTGTCACAGAACTTAAGAATGGATGCTGTACGATTCCAAGACTTCCTCGTACCTTGTTAGACATTTACTAAGTACTATACAATTCTACGCTAGCAATGGAATATTTACATACGTACAGACTACCGTATCATTTGCATTTTACATATGAACTTACTTCAATGCGGTCCCCTGCGTCAATTTTAGCTCCAATGTCAATGAGTCTCCTTTAGAAAGAAAACTTTCTGTTTTTGCACAGGCCCTGGATCTCCGTAATAACGCGTGTTCGCATGTCCTTGGGGCACGCTCCCGACAGAACCTTGCAACTAAGGTAGCATTTGTTGGGGGACGACCCACTATTACTGATTGAGGGGAGGTCGCCCGAGACATCTGCACTGACCTCTCTTTGTCGCTACAAGGAAAAAGTTTAGAAAGGTTAATACTAACATATATTATTTTTTACTTACATCGCAAGTAAGGTAAGTACTTAAGTTTAATCAAATATAAAATTTTCCAAACAACTTTGATTCACTTACATCGTAAAATCAACGAACTTGCGCTAGCATGAAAAATGACTCACCAAAATATATCGCTGCAACCGGGCGATATTCTCATCGGACCATCCCATATATTCAAATGGCTCCCACAGTACTCGTCCTCGGGCAAGTTAGGATTTAAAGCGTTTGTCACATAAAATTTCAATACTGAAAACCACACTCTGAAACGCGGAGCTGAAAATGAGGGCCTTCTGTAAATTATGTTGCGACCCGAGGGGCCAGAGGTGTCTATTCCTTGCATGTGGTAAAGGCATGTGGTATTCGGAGGCAAGGAATGTTGCGGGTGTTCCAAAACCCCTCGGCCTGTCCCTCTAATCCAAAACTCGCAGGCCCTTTTGTTCTTCGCGTACGTCGGCGACTGTTGATCCACAAACCTGACCTAAAATTGATTAATTATGTGATAACTGCGACAGACATGCCTTACAGTCCTTTATCATAATTAATGGAAGGTATAATTAGAGGGAATTCATTGTTATAAGATACCAAGTTTAATAGTGTTTTGGAAACCGTTTATATAATTGCTATGTATTGACATTAACAGAGTGATTGAGTTATGAAACCTTTTCCTGATACTACTTCAGTCAATATTAGGATTGAAACAGTGGTGAACCAACAACGCCGCAAATATAAAAGGGTTATCAAAAAAGTAATAAAAAAGAGTTATATTGAAAAGTGAAAGATTGGGGTCGTCCTAATTTCATAAGTTAGAACAATGTGGGTTGGTGTAGAGTTCGCTCGGTTCATTATTGTGACCGTCCGTGCAAGCCTACGTTACTAATTACACTTTGGCAGGGGCCCAAGTGAACCTCTAGGGCACTACTTGATTTATTATTGTTCACTGAAAACGAAACACTTTAAATAACACTCTACGATGATATATTAGCCCATTAACCTAGTTTTAGGATCATATGTGGAGCGATTAGTTTAAATCTCGTAATTGTCGGGAAGCGCCTAAATCATACCGTATATGAATATTGTACCTAACTTTCATAGAAACAGATGGAAACATTATTAATTCATTCTTCGCTTCATCATTCCATACAACAGTTAGTTCAATCTGAATAAAAAAATTAGTAAAAATAAATAATAAGGAAAAAATAGTTTTCAATTTCCATAATCTCTTACACCGAAGCGCTTATCACGAAAAAGTTCCAACCGTTCCTGTAATTCCAATTTGGCCGGTGTCCAAATATGAACTGGTTTTTTTGGGAAACTCATATTAAAAGTGGAAAATGGACCCATTAGCGAGAAGGGTGAATACTCCTTTGAGTTTCTAAATTAGGAACAAAATAAGGGATGTATGTGATTTGGTAATGAGATATTACGTAACACAGGGGGTTGTGTGGTTCATTGAAATAGATTGTTGGTGTAATTACCTGCCGCATTTAGAACTGTCTAATGTGTTGGTAATGATATCAACGATTTAGACAATGACTATGTAAATATAATAAACGTTATAGCTGCAAATACTATGTCATGAGAATTACAAAATTTCAAACTAGAAAATATAAAACCTCACCTCAACTTCCAGCTGAAATCCATGAAGAGATTGTGACGTTACTGGTTGTAAAAACGTTCCGAAAGGTGAAGTCGTAAATTCTACTAACAATTCAGGACCACTCGATATCGCCTCGGGAACGGATACACCTCCTCCACAAAATCTCAATATGACTGGATCTCTTGTTGTATAGCCATCGTAAACCGTTACATAGTCTTGAACTTCGTCACATTGTTGCCAAAATTTCAGCTCCCGTCCATTATTACCCCGTTCTTGTTGCGCTGCGTACAAAGCCTTCTGGCTCCTAATGGAAACTAGTTGGCCGTTCGGCTGTTTAACAACTATTAGGGCGTGCTTTCCTTGAGGCACTTCGTGCTGTCGCACCGCATAGTAACATGTCAGGTTTCTTGGGTACACACCGGGAAAATTTGGTGACTGTAACCTACAATTTTTACGATCACAGTCGCTGAATATCCGTGAGCAATAAGTTCCAGAAATCAAATCCCCGAGGTAATACTCTGGAGTTTTTGTCGTCTTGGCTACAGTCGTATCCTCGCCGCGTGATATGTTTACGGGATAAGGCATTGGCCTCAGTTTGAAAAAAGGCCGTTCTGGAATGAGATACTGTTATTAGATGGAGACATTGATCTTCGAATTTTATTATGTAAGACATAAGGGAAGGTTGTGAAATTCTGTTATGTTTTATGAGCGCTTCCCTTTGTTGTTCATTTATTTGGTTTATCTCAATAAGCGCTGATTTAGATAAAGGACATTTATATGATAGTACAATATAATATCCGTTGATTACTTAAGCTATCGGTACAACTGATCAAACATTTTTATCAAGCTCTTTTGTGGCCACTTGTAAATATATTCCGCCCAAATAAATGCCTATGATCAACATTTTGCAAACTATCTTTAGCAACAGAACACAAAGCTGGCCGTTTGTCAGAATCAAAATGATTTACGTACCCGAAGGAGGGGTCCCTCCGTATCGGACGGTGGCATATTCCCTTCTCAAAACCTTATAAGCCATTCTGAAGTCGAAATTATAGTTATTTTGTTCCTTCGATAAATGCAAGAGTCGTATGATGAGAGTGATAGATTTTGTTTCGCTGTAGTAGATGGAAGGGCCCCAGGAAGTTCCACACCACGAGCCTCCGACTTGTGGTCTGCTGGCTTCTTGGATCTGCATGTAGCCATCTGGACAACCGTCTTCTGTGAAGGAGGTGAAGCGCCCAAGAGTGAAGCTATCGAAGAGGACCTGGAAAGATGAGATAGATTTGTTTAGATTTTGGCAAGGATAGATGACGTCCATATTCTAGTTATGGAGAACTGCTTGCAGTTACAGTAATCATTGGTAATTTGGTTTTAGGACAAGTATAAAATGTGAATTTGATATTTTGTCCAATTAACCCTTTCAGTACCGTCATTATAGACACAATTAAAGAACAATAGGTTGCGGTCACCGGTGTCCTCGCGGTGTTTGACAGTAGTTTAATAGGTGATAGATAATGTATAATGTGCGTAACAAAGGTTACTTTTCTAATTCAATTCTAAATATTTCTGAAATTGCATTGTAAATGGAATCCATTACCATGAAACTAGTCTAAACAAGTCCACAGCTAACTGAGAGTTCTAGTAATTTGCACTCTGCTTTATATGGACCAATTTGAATTAAAGAGCATTTCCTAAACTTCAATACTACTCCTGATGTCAAAGTTAAACGTCAAGTAATGGATTCTATTATTCCAACGTTGACGTGGTTCGTATTTTGGTCCTTAAACCAATACTGGAACTTAGTCTAATGGCTTTTTAATTTAAGTATGTATTTAGTTAGTAGTTGCTGTTATAGAGATTAAATTAATGGACAGTTTTGGTTGTGTTTGTTATGGCATCAGTTATGGAATAGTTATATTTATTGAACTGCTTTAAAATTATCCGTCGTTTCTTATACGTTATATTAATTTAACCAAACCTAGAAACAAGATACACATAGTATTGTTAGTAAACGTGAATAGATCATGGGGCTTACTCTTGAATCCAATTCCGATCGATCGACATTGGTATTGTGAAATTTCGTACTCTTGAGTTGTAACACTAGCGCCCATTGCATCCGTAATGCGTGGATATTTAATTAACTAAATGGTATTGAGTTTGGCTTTATATTCCGTATTCTAAATGCTACTTTGACAGCTACGATTGGGGTTGTATAGTTTTGACATTGGATAATTATTGAGATTATATTGACCACTGAAAATCAGTGCTGGGTAACCTGTATGCCTGGCTTACACTGAGTGGGTGACCCTTTTAGCATAGGCATGTTGTTAGCGTCTCTTTTCTAATTTTTCTGTTTCAATTTTTCAACTCTTATATTTTTATTACTTCCACTGTCACATCTTGATTGTCTTTTTTTATTTTTTATTTATGCTGCATCATGCCTGGTGCTAAATAAATGTTTTTTCTTTCTTTTTTTTCTTTCTTTCTTTCTTTCTATATTGGATTGAAATTGCATAGACATTGGTTTCAAGGGTAAGCACCCTGTACATGTCACTGATTATCATCTCGATCAAAACTCATAGGAAATGATTGAAATGAATGCTGAATACTTCAAGTGTTGATAGGTACCTATTTTTATCATTAACATCTAATATATAAAATGTGATAAGTGTACGAATTTCACGAACATGTTACCACATTACAGTTTATTCAACATTGGCGTCGAAAAGCTGAGATTGGAAAAGTAATGGAATTGCATTTCATACGAGTTTCATTTCCCGTACCTATAATGTCGGTTAGATTGACATGTGTATGTATGTCTTTATTGCTTTTCATATCATTTTTATCGCACATTTCTTTACCCAATCATTCAAGATGGTCCCTTAGCAAATCAGAAACGTTTTCTTAAATCAACTGTCGATGTTTCGGTGTTCTTCTGCAAATAAAGTAAAAAATGGTGTGTGTTGCGTTTGAAGGAACATTCTGTCTGTCAGTAGGTTCAGATATAAGGGTCGTTTTCTTTAACTTTCTCATTGGCTATTCCGATTTTTGAATGTTACTACTAGCGCATCCTTATTAAATGTGATATCAGATGTTTCATATTTGCCTTTCACTCAAAATAATACGTCTGAACATGATAATGAAACTATTGTTTCTTGTATAGAATGAATGCATTAGTGAACTGATCCAATGACGTTGGATTTTGAAATTCACTCCGAATGGACAAAAAATTAACTGTCTGCACATAGAGTGAAGGTTCACTCGAATTTGATTGGATGATCACAAATTAAACTGGTTCCGAGACTCAGTACACCACTTGATGACATATTTTAAAAAACAATAAATGTACATTCATTTCTTTGTCAAAAACAAATCAAACAAACAAATCAAACAACAAATCAAACAAACAAAATCAAAACATTCACTTGGGTGTTTAATCATTGAATTGAACCATTCGATATCACCTATAGTCAGCTATATCAAGCTATTGTGCTAGGTACACAACGTGGGTACATTTACTTAGTTAACCTCATAATACTGCACGGTTGGTGCGGTGGCTGGCCAATCGGCTGCCGTGCAACGTGTCGCGGGTTCGAGTCCCGCACGGAACAACACTTTGTGTGATCCACAAATTGTTGTTTCGGGTCTTGGTGTCATGTGTATGTGAACTTGTATGTTTGTAAACGCACCCACGACCCAGGAGATAATCCTAGTGTGGGACAACGTTTTTTTTAAAGTAAAAAAAAATACGAAATTTGGATAAATATAAGTTTGTAAATTATCTTTAATCAGTATGAAAACTCTAAGATCTTATCCGTTTCCATTTTCCATAAATAAAAGACAAAAAAATACTTATTAAGCGTTTCCCTAGTCAACCATCAAATAAAAAGATGATGGTAAAATGCAAAACATTCATGAATTATGATTCACTTCTATCCAACAGAAGTGGGCCAACTGAACGGGACTTAGCAACGCGGAAACGTAAATTGAGGTTGCAAATTGCATCTGTGTATCTGCGGGATAAAGTGTCGATAAGGATTCACGTCCATTGAGAATTTATGCTTCGTTGCAACAAAGAAATTCCAGATTTTATTTCGTTGAACTACAATCCAGACATTATTGCTCTTCGGCCTTTAGGTAACTTTTCTATCTATATCTATATATATAAAAGAAAGTCGTGTTAGTTACACTATTTATAACTCAAGAACGACTAAATCGATTTGGATGAAAATTGGCAGGGAGGTAGCCTAGAACCAGGAGACGGACATAGGATACTTTTTATACAATACTTTTTATACAATACAATACTTTTTTTTACTTTTTACCGAAAATCACGAACGAGAACGGGGGGAAAATGGGATTGCGCGTACGAAGTCGCGGACAGAAGCTAGTATTTAATAAACCTAGTTACTTAAGCAGACAAGATTTTTATTAACCCTTCTAAACTATTTACACCTTAAAAAATAATAATAATGAAAAAATAATAATAATGAAAAAAAATAAATAAATTATAAGGCATCAAAGAAAATATTTTCCTCATCGCTACCGTGAGGTAGGGTGCCCAAAAGACTGGCAGCATTGCCACGTTGAATGGCAATGCTTAACCTTTGCCCAAGGTAGTAGCCAGCCCTTTAGTTACTTTAGTTTTAGTGTAATTTAGACTCTCTCTTTATAAGTTTAAAAAGTAAAATCTCCACAGAAAAGTCTTTTTACTAATAATCCTAATACAAATAAAAATTGACGTCGATTTTATAGATTAATATTACTGCCTATGTGATTATTAGGAAGGTGTATTGATTTCTTTAAGTGTATGAAAGACCAAATCATCGTCGTGAGTAACAATGCAAATAATCTCAAAGGTATCACTATCAACAAAATGGAATCTGAGTACAAAATGGAATACGAATCGACGGCGGGAAGTCGAAATGTGAAAGACATGTCCCTTCATATTCGTTCCTCTCAAGCAGAAAATACAATTTTGCACAGCTAGGGATGTTCTCGTGGGTCTTTGATGAAATTTAAATGTGCTCCTGCCGTCGGAAACGCGTTGTGGCGTTTCAATTTATGTTCCCAGAACGTGCGAAGAAAAAAATTATATTACTGTCTAGACACGGACGGATTTGAAACTGAGTTGGATTTTAACAATATGACACGTACTCTGGTTTACTTTTAATTAACATTAGACGTGTAGTTTTTTGTGGACTCATACACGTCGGTTTTTTTAAGTAAGGGATTATTTTATTTTATTTTACGACCGCTCCGCGTTCTGATAATCAGTGGTTAATATGATAGGGCAATATGGAACTACAAATTTAATTTATATAAATTATATCTACACAAACTAACAATTATTATTGTCATTAACAATTGTCATTGGGGGAGGCCTATGATCAGCAGTGAACGTCCTGTGACTGATACGATCATGATGATGATATGTAGCTGACACAACCACAGGTCGAACACACCATCAACCTGTGGACATTATTGTAACATATGAACTAGGGAAATAAACAACTTTCTATTCAATTCTATTATATTCTAGGGATTATTTTATGGTTCAAAATAGCGATCTGGTGACGAAATGAAAAGTATTTACTTTAGTGGTCCATCTGTATAAAAACATTACTTCAGAATAAAATTGAAAAGTCATAAACATTTAAATATGGTCGTATAATGTTGTAAGTATTACATTTATTGATTCTACAAATACATAAGTGTATAATAACAATAAGTGTGGGAGAGCCATGCTTCGGCATGAATGGGCCTGCTCGACCGGAGTGATACCACGGCCTCACAGAAAACCGACGTGGAGCAACGCTTGCGTTGTGTTTCGTCGTGTGAGTGAGGTTACCGGAGGCCCAATTACCCTCCCCTTCTCCAATCTCCCCAATCCCTGAATCTCCAACCATCCTCAAACTCCTAATCCCCAAAAGGCCGGTAACGCACTTGTAACGCCTCTGGTGTTCCAGGTGTCCACGGGCGACGCCGATTGCTTACCATCAGGTGATCCGTCTGCTCGTTTACCGGCTTATGCCATAAAAAAAAAACATAAGTATAAGTCCAAAGAATAGATGCTGTCGCCAAAATTGTAAAATTCTATTTCAAAACAAACAGTTTCTACATTTCCTTATTCATTGTACGTCTTTTAACATAAAATATTTTAAACATTTCGCTTCTACAATTTTTATTTTATTCAAATGCATAAGGATTCACTCTGCATTCCGCATTCACGACAATTCTGAGGATTTTCAATTTAGTCATGTATTGTTACGCTAATATTAAAGTGCTCAAATTCTTTTGCTTCAAGTCTGCGTTTCT